AGCATTAGAGGAGTGCTAGAACCACCTGGATAGGCCCTGGCGTCCGGTGGTTCTTTCGCAACGCTTACTAGGGCCGACGAGTGTTTTACTTGTCTCTTTAAGGGTCAGATCGTGTAGATCATATCCTGGGTCGAATACAGTCGAATACAGAGATGGACGGCCGGCCTTTGTCGTGACAAGTTCTAATTGTTGCAACGCGAACGGGTAAGTTGTCTTTGTCTTGTCGTTATCGATGAGAGGCTTTCAGGGACAGTAGAAATCTGGCCCACCCCCAAAAGGATGTGTGGGTGGTGGTAGTGGCCTTTACAGACACACCCACTCTGCCTACCTAGGTACAAAGGGCAGAACAGCCAGTAGACTATCTTACATATTCACACGTCCCGAGCTCGCAGGCAACCCCGGTAACGCGATGACAATCACACCGCAAAGTTATTCTCCGATGTACAGGAAATCATCTAATTACACAGATCAAAACGATATATGCATACGATCACCATGACTTGGCAGAACTTGGCCCCTCTCGAACCCACAATTGGTACACTTGGAGACACCGAAGTTTGCCTGGTACAGAAGTCTACCGACGGGCACATTTAAAGATACGGTGGAGTCTCCTACCTAGACACATCAAGGTAATTTGTAACCCCGTTGTCTCCTCTAGACAAAGATTGCAGATATGGCTAGAATGGCTTGCATTGGATTATGCAGCCCGGCCCCATCGAGCGTTCTAGACCCAGGGATCGTTTCGGGTGAATAAGGTGACAAACGGGAAAGGATTGTAAGACCACCAGCGCTATACGATTTTTGCGCTTCTCCCGACACCATTGCGTACTTGATGTTTTACAGCTGACAGTCTAAAAGATAGAATTGCCTCCATTTTAGCTTAATTTGGCGCGAAAAAAAAGTCTGCAACTTTTTTTTTTTCGCAGTTGGGCGAGGACACAAGGTTCAAGGCGCAAGGAAAAGGCCACAGAGGCGTACGCGCATATCATTCCTCCCTTAGGATGCACTTTCGCATCCAACTATGGGCCTAGCAGGAAAGATGGATGTCAGCTGTCGATCACTCATACGATTTGATCTCACATTCCTGCAGCTGTCCGATTGAGTACTATTAGTCCGACTACCATATTTGTTGTCCGGCTTTCAAAACTGGTGGTCGAGAAAATACCTATTATAATCCCTGAATTAGGTATCTTGGGGGGAAGTTTTATGCTCGTCGCCACATTGATGTACTAACAATCCGTTACTAGCATAACCCTTCAAATAAGGCCGAGGACGACCGCCGGTTTCGCGTGCCCATTAGGCAAGTCAAAATCACAGGCGCCCCTTTATTAGCAACAAGAAATGCTTATTTTTCTTACTATAACGAGCTATTTGAACGCCGAATAAGAAACCACGCACAAGCAAGAAGGAAGAAGATATCACCATTGCCCCGGTTTCGTTGCGTCCGTGTAGTATATTATTATTATGCATGAGGACTAATGCGTGAGTTCGTTAGAATTTGGCGAATCCGCACATATCGGCGATCTCTCCGCGTGGACGACCCAGGGAGGTTGGGGATGCTTGACTACTAGGTACAATGCCTGTAGCAGCCAGGGTAAAATAATCAGCGAATCTCGTGACGGGTATTCCCACCTTACGCGTGTCTGTTCACCTTAAGAGCCTCTTTGGACCGCACTTATATTGGGTACTCGAACACACGACCCCACGGCTGATTTTAGAGACACTACGCGCTATCATGGTCCGACTTTAGGCGAGTGACTAGCCAGCTCCCAGGGGGAATGTTAGATTCGACGCGTGCTGAATATGCCTACTGCGACCGCGCCTATCTCGTCCTGAGCATTCATCGCTCAACAAGTGGGTGACGATGCAGCCCACTATAGCTTGGCCTCATTCCTAAGATCATATCAACCAACGATAGTATGCGTCATGTACGGTTGGGCCACTGATTCGTAATAGGTTTACATCCTGAACACGCTACGACCCTCTCCGGCCACACGCCCGACGGGTCACGCCAAAGAGTATCGTAGGTCTCTCATGTCCTTAAGGTTGCGATTCAGTAAAGAAAAGGACTTATCTGAAAACATAAATGGTTTGATCGCATTGTTTTCCCGGCCTACTGGCTTGATTAAAAAGCCACCTAGCATGCTTGGTATTTTGCATAACACACCCGGGCTGAGGTCCTGAGGGGCAATTCGCTTGGTGTCCATATCATATCTCAGAATGCACCCAGACTTAATATCCACACTGTAAGTGCTTCCTACTATGATAAATATTCGGAGAAGCTTGATATAGTAGGATAAGACTCTTAGGAGCACCGAATACTGAGTTTCGAGGTCACCAAACAAAAGGCCATATTACTCCCTCAACTGGCGTCTCGGGGCATTCACAGGCTTGATCGCAGACTATCATACACCACATTAAAAACAGCCTCCTAGCAGCCTCGATACGGGCCGACTGGCCTGGCTATGTATAGAGCGATCTGAAAGGGATGTGCTCACCTCACATTTGATACCGTCTTTACAGGACTCTCACAAGCTGATATTGACAAATATCTATATATATTATCAGCCGTCATAAAAAGAAATTATAGTATCCACGTGTCGTGCATAAAGACGCCGGTGGTGTATGATTACACATTCGGCCGTGCAAGGCCAGAGGTGTTTCAAGACTATTGTATCAGTGACTGATCACATTCCAGCTACACGTATCATAAAATGCTGGGCGACGCTGGACCTACATACCGAGCCCAATAGAGGAAGTACTAACGATGTCGCCTTTCGCTCTCACCGGCAGCACCCAATTAAACCCGGCTACCTGGAGTTCCCGAAAGATAGTCTACACCTCTTCTTCAGCAGCTGGATGGAGGGTTCCAGAAGCATCCTACCTATCAGGGGAACCTCCAAAACCACGTGAATTTCATCGCTGATTTCGCTTTAACGATACGGTATGCCGTCTGCCAACCCACCAGAACAGTAACCGAGCCGAGTTGCCGGAGGACATCCCGCCCCCCTACCACCGAGAAAATCCGCTAGGCTAGATTAGGGTTGAGGCTATTCATATTTCGTCTCCCACGCCTCGGGTGGTAATTCGATAGTCCAACCCAACCATACCATCGGGTGCATTGCATGTATAATGCCTCATCCACTGCCGCATAGCTGGGGTACGGAAACCTTATCTAGCTACGTTGGGTAGGTAGGTAAGTCGATATATAAGTAGGGAGGTAAGTCAGTAGACGAACAAGACATGCAAGCTGAGTTACACAACTACGTTCACACTTACACAGAGGCTGATTCAACAGCCGGAAATACTTTGCGCTCGTGTGTGGGAAATGGCTTTATACCCGACGCTGGTGTGTAGCGTACACATGTGCACATGCATCTCAGCCTATAAGTGAACACGGTTAGATAAGTAGCGAGAGGTACCGTACCGACGCGAAGATCTGTGGGACCACGAGATCTAAGAGTATACAAGGAATGAATACCTATATACCGACATATTTTCTCTGAGAAAGACGTTTCGGATTGCTTGTCATCGAGCAAGCGTAGTACGGGTTAAGAGACATTACCTTATTTTCGATGGCAACTAGCCAAGTGATGATACTAGCCACTAGCATCAAAACTGATTCATGGACGAAGGTTTATTTATGTCAGATATCATTTTTCGCGGGGCTGAGATGATTGTCTACTCGAATAATATCTCGAGATACCTTACATATGGGACTACTCACATTTAATGTAGCGCTCACTCAGCTCCAACCCTCTTTGTTACCTCTCCTCCCCCGCAGGAGTATTTTCTATCTAGAAAACCTCGAATAATCGATCTTCGAACACTCCATATCCAACCCGAGATAGAACCCCGAGCCCATCTACGCCAGGACCAAGGGCGTGGGACAGTTCGCCCGGCTTAGCTTACAGGTCATATTTCTTTGTTTACCGCCACCAGGCAAACCAGACCCTCGATCGAGCCGACCTCGCACAGACGGCGTCGCACGTCCTCATGCAAGCCGTCGCGGCGCGTGTTTCGTATAAATTGGGAAAGTCTCCACCGCCGCCTACCTGTTTCTGGCTCCCAAAGCAAAGCAAAGCTATCGCTCACCCGGCACGCAATAACCGGGCACGAGATTTGTTCCAATTCGCCGGTTTGAAAAAGAGGTAGGTAAGCGTTACCTACTTCACTTCTTGTGTATATATATGTAGATGGTTGAGTAGGCAAGTATTGCCAGGTATTGGGGTCAGGGCACGACACGTGGCTCGTGTTTACCTCTTTTCATACGTCTACGCCCAAGTTGGTGGTGGCCGTTGAGGCTTAGCCACGAATCCTGAGGATGACTTAATAGAATCTGGTCTAGTATCGTGATAGGTATGAGCTTCCCGAGAGGAAGTAGGTATACTGCTTGAGATACGTGTCGCGAGCGCGCGTTGTCTCGACGTAGGTATTGCCGTTTTACCGCCTGTGTTCCACGAGATACGGGCCACTACCTACCTCACTCCTTCACGATCATATAATAACTGGCTTGTAGGAGCGTGGATAGACGTACCTAACTTGAAGGAGTAGACTCTATTATGCCACGTTAAGCCAGGAAATGAATACTCTGGCGGGCTATATCCAATCAGGTAGGACATCTCGATCGTCACAAACGAATAGAAAAGCAAGTATCAGAAGTAATGAGGGTTTGGCTTAAAAGCCATTCGCGCAAATGTATTTATGTACTATGTCTAATCCTCTATCAAGTAAACAACAGAGAATCATCCAAAGGCTTGAGTTAATAGGTACCTAGGTAGACACGACCAGCGCGATTTCCCAAGGCCCAGCTTTTATACCTATCATCAATCATAATGCCGTAACCCTCTTAACATGATAGTATCGAAAACGAATAGGATATCGCTCAACGCCCCTTGCTCGCTAACATATATCTAATAGAACGCTATAACACTCTGAAAAGTGTCCAAGTTTCCCAGACACCTGCGCCATGTATGATACTAGCATCGCCTACATATAAATTAACCCGGCGCATGGCTATACTCCCACGTGACGTAAGGCTGATTGATGAGGTAATAGATCCAGTATACGATACCGATTGTCTCGAGCGGTAGCTCGGGGTAGCGCTCTCGAATTCTCGGTATAATGGGGCAACGGCACGTGGGGCACGGATGGCCATCCATAACAGCGATGAATGTACGCAGGACGGTCCCGAGCGACGTATTATGCATATACGGAGAATCCGACTCGTCGGCCAACGTGTGCAGGAGCCATATCCACGCAGTCAGGATTTCGGCCGGGCGAGAGCAGAGCCCTGCGAGGCTGTACGTGCGGTTGAACTGGTCCCCTCCGATGAGAGTGCCGCCGCTGTAGGTCCTCCATTCCTCGGGGTCGCCCGTGGAGAAGCGGCGTAGGACCGGGGGTACGTGGCCGGCGGTGATGCTGGAGCCGAAGACCCATTCTTCGAGGGACGAGGAGCGGATGGCGAGGGAATTTTGCGGCGTATACTGTGGTGGATCACTGCCGATGGGAGCATGGCAAACTATTATGGATGGACGGCGAGAGGCCATGTCGAATAGGAACTTCACTCGGGTTACCTCAGAGTCGTAGCTAACCACCGGTCTCTTTGCACGATATCCCCGCACAGCCTCACCGATAGGTTTGTATGCATCTGGTCCCAGGACACGGCATTCATCTATAAACGTAAGGCTCTCGACCTCGACGATGTCGTGAGTAGAAAGATGGAAGCAAGCTACAGAATTGAGAGTTCTGAAGGGCCTCGATAATAGCATGAGATGTTCCAGAGCGACAAGTCTACTCTGGTGACAGACTCTGAGAGCCGCGATATCCGACTAATGTATTGGGGCTTCTTCGAGGTCGGGAATATTACCGTGATCGTGTCCTGCAGGTGGTTGTGGGATCTCGATCACCGGAAAATGCATGTATTTCGTGCGGACCATCGAGTTAGGTATAGTGAGCCTCCATATCACCCATTGAATCTCCGTTGGTAGAGCTGGGAAGAGTCGGAATTCGCTTAGCGGCTGAGAAGCTCCGTCGGCCATAGGGAGTATCTTGAATATATATGTTAATAAACAGGCTATTTTCTTGTTAACTTAGAGGATTGTTCTGCTTTGTTGCTAAGGATGAAACCCCCAACAGTCGAGAACCACTCGAGGTCCTAGATGATCATATATACTGAAATATAGCGTATTGGTATTAACTCTAGGTGTTGTGGGAGAGGGAGGGGATTGTTCCAACCAACTCATAACCAAGAAACCTCTTGGTTTAGACTTTATGGGAAGGTACAATAACATAAACGCATAGGTACCTACCTATATATATAAGACTTCGCCCAATTGGAAGTGGCGTATAACCTTGGAAGAATATTTCTTGATACGACACCCTTTTACGCATCGCACATATTCATCAACTTTAGAACTATAAATCCTCTTTTGCCAGCATATCAACTATATCAAGGTAGAATGCTATAGCATTAAAGCTGTTTGCCAATTAGCGCGTATACAAGTAACTACGGGAAAAGTGCAAACTTACTTTGGTCCTTGACCCATCCACTTTAGCAAGGTCCATCTTAGCTGGTTCGTCCAGTTGATTAAGTCCAGGTGACTGACACCTACTAAAGTTCCCTTGTATGAACCCCATTTCGAACTTGTTACACTAACGAGACCATCATTAGGTCCCTCTACGTCGCTAATGATATTATGGGAATGGCGGAAAGGTGAAAGGAGAGTAGGCCGATCCATCATGGCCCCGTACGAGAAGTAGCGAACGCTTGGGTCGTCTGGGGTCCGTGGGTTGAAACTCTCTGTCATATATGCTGGCGTGAGTTGCTCGAATGCGCCTGTATCCATACCTACGCCCTGGATAAATTGATATATACTCGGAAGTCTGTCTGCACCAATCTCTTTGAATACATAATCCGCAAAAGCGCTCCCTCGGTGAGGAGTAGCGACGGTGACTAGAGATTTCACATCCACATTCTTAGGTTGGAGATGAGAAATCATGTATCTGGCATCGAGTCCGCCCATAGAGTGAGCAATAATATTCACGCTCTTATCCCGCGCAACATGGGCAATACTATGAGCCAGCTTCTCAGCTCTTTGCTCGATACTTCCGGATGGAGGCACAGTTGCCGTTATGACTTCAATCCCATTAGCTCTTAATGCATCTGTGATGCCGCGCCAATAGGTAATGGCAGGGAGCCATCCTCCAGCAAGGCGAAGTTCGGCGAAGCCTAATAAGCCATGGGCGAGGACGACTGGGTATTTAGGAGTAGCTAAGGACCATGTCAGTCGTGGAGTCTATAATCTCTTGGGAACGAGTGGCCCTGTACCGTAATGTTCTCTTACGGCGGCATAGTCATCATATATCTGCTTTCCAAGGTCTTTCAGTCTCGGATCGTTACCATGCTGAGAAGAATAAGCCCTTGAGCTTCTCGGCGGCAGCAACCGAGTACGCCGGGCTGAATTGTTGAAAACACCGTCGAGTGAGCGAAGAGAGACGGGATATATATGGCAATGGCTTATAGCACATCGCGATAGACTCATTTCTATAGCCTCAACCTCGAGAGATGGCTGATTGTTAATGGTTAAGGTACATGTTTATGTTTATGTTTACGTTAAATTGAAAGTGAAAGTTAATGTTTAGGTACCTTACACTATTGAAATCAATGACCCATATAATACGTCATGCATTAAACCAGGCGCAATGCACGTAAGCGGAAGCCGGAAGCGCGTTAGTCTTGGACACCCGGAAGCTTCGCACATCATTTTTTTGGTCCTTCCTCTTTCGGGGCTCCCGTGGTACTCGCCCATCGGTCCCATCGGTTTAGCGTGGAGAAATCTCTTGGCGGCATCTCTTAAGCACGAAATTACATTAGCGTCAGTTAAAGCCGAACGGGACTCGACCACTAAAATTCAACCTCCAAGGGTCGCATAATCGGTCGCATATGTTGAACTTCAGCCAACACTCCTCTCTTCGTTATTACATATTATGGTACTATTCAAACCATAGCCACCAACACCGACCAACATGCATAACATCCCTACTCGATCACGTGAAATCTGACTCGTCTCTACCTTTTGTCGTATTTGTTTTTTTTCTTTCCGCCGGTTAAATAAGGTAAGTCTTGCGGGAGGACCCCGTACTCGAAGCACAACGTTGCGGTTCTCGCGTCTGTGAAGATGGCAGCGTGTTACATTCGGCGTGTTTATCACCAACGGTCGAGCAAACAAAACTACACGATTATCCAATCAAATACGTCCTGGCGTTAATTGCATTCGACCCTCAAATTATGCTTGCTCTACTCCTTTGTCCGACCTTATCCCATGGTAGGTACATGATTGCTATAAGAATGGCCTCCGAACATCCAAGATTCATATCATCTCTTACGACCTACGGGAACGGAAAGTCTATTAGATCTTAGATTGGACTAAGTACCTAATATAGCCCATCGAACGGTTTTATCTCAAAAAGCGAAGTAGTACAGTTTGACCTCGAACACTTCCCGTACAGTGTCCTACTGTCAACAAGTCGAAAAACATGGATTAACTCGCGGCCATAGATGTGCTGACATTAGCCGCGCTGGTTTGCAAATTCTCGATATGATTGGCTACTGTTGATATAGAGTCTGTGGTCGAACCGTACTGTCGGGTCAGCCTTCGCCCCCCGTCGAACCCCGATTGAGTATCTCGCAGGCCTTTTTTTCATGTGAGAAGCAGGTCGAGAGGTTCTCTCTAGCCTTGCTTGGAGATCGACCCAAAGTTCTGCTATGTCCGAAAAAGAACATCCCGGTCGATGAGAGATATAGGAAGTCGATGTTGCTCGGCCCGCGGAAAAGTACTTGGGCACCATCTATACCGATACCTATTCTCGTTTCTCCACCGTAGATGCTAGTCTCACAGAAAAGGGACACGTATGTAGACGCCGTTCAAAGACTATGGGTTGGCTGAGCGGATCTGCGGTGTTCCCCTGTATAAACAGGTATTGTCGCATACCAACATCTTGTGTGCCCTCCTTGTGTTAATCTTCTCTCTAATCCCAGAGCCGGCGGTGGGGAGAGTAACCATCACGATTAAGACGGGACGTACCATTTGCAGGGGCCGTCCTAGATCTTCTATCGGCTCACCATGAGGAAAATTCATCTCGGGCCGGTGCATGGTGAGGGTTCATCCGATTGCTTGTGCTGTTTAGGCATCGCTGTGATTTCCTCTCTGGACACTTAGAAGTTAGGATACCTAACCGTATCTGTGAATCTGAGCCTAGCTTATATCTGTATGAGTTCTAGCCGACTTATAACCTTGTCCACCCCGCTAGGATTTTTTCTCGTCTTCCAAATCGTCGTTAGCCGGAGCCGACAAGAAATATGCGACATGGCTAGTTCTACGGATTGCGTCTCGAGCCGCTGCTCGCGGATCTTTCTCACATACAAACCTTCCCTCGCTGGAAGTGCCGTCTTCCTAGCCTTATTCGCCGTTTTGATTCCGATCACACTGGCATTGGGAATCAAGTACAAGAGCTCTGTTTTCGCTACGGCGGTAGTGACGGGACTCGCCTTGGAAGTGGTGGGCTATATCGGTAGACTCCTGTTGCACAATACCCCGACCGATAGGAGTGGCTTCATTCTATTCTTGATCGGAACTATCATGGGCCCGACGTTCATCTGCGGCAGTATATTCCTCATAGCGCCGCAAATCGTTACCGTATACGGCGAAGAGTTTCGCTCATGGAGGCCGGTTTGGTATTCCTTCCTGCTCTATGTACTCACAGCTGTATCTCTTATACTTGAATTGGCTGGGGTGCTTGTCTCGACGATTCAAGATGACATAGGAGAAGTAGGTTGTCACGTTTGTGCTAAATATGATCTATGAGTCTAACTTCTATCTAGGTTGATATAGGCTCCCATGTCCTTGTTGCAGGGCTAGTTATTCAACTTATTACCCTGGTTGTTTTTATCGGCCATGCTGTCCTGTTCGCGATCGCCGTGCAGACGAGGTACCATATGTTAGATACTAAATTTGCCGGCATATACAAGAGAAGGTCTTTCAAGGCCTTCTTGTTTGGTAAGGAGATGCGATAACCACATACCTACGAAATCCTAACAGGCTAACTTTCAAACAACACATAGCATTCAAATTTGCGATTCTCTTGCTCGTCCTGCGAACAGCCTATCGAATCGTGACGATCGCCGAGGGATTCGGCAGTTCGATCGCGCAGTCGGAAACGTTGCTACTTGTACTCGACGGGTTGATGGTACTGCTCGCTACTTTAATCTTGCTAGCATTCTTCCCGGGACGAATTATACGCGACTCGGGATCTCAGACATTACCTCGTAGATCACCCAGAACGCCACTTCAACCGATACGAGTAGCCCCGTACGACCTGCCGTCGACCAAAAGCACCCCGACTTATAACCGAATGAGTACCAAGTCTTCTACGCCAGGCCATTCTCCAAGGAAGTCAGCACCGCCCCCTCCAAGAAATATGGTGGACAGTGACGCCTTGTGGTAAACGAGGGCGTTATATATATGAACTGGTTTCGGAGATCACATAGGGAGGGCATCAGGTGAGAATTTTATCGATATTAGGAAGGGGTATTTAAATGGCATATGGCGTTCTCAACCGCTACCTGTCAGGCTGGATGTGGTGGTTTTTCGATGAACATTTTCTGTTATTCTCATATACCCTTCATTTGGATATCGTAGGGGTTGGTCTTAGGGGTTACTGGGGGGTCACTCACTTATATTTGGCTATTCTTGCGTTGCGTAGGCGTGGATTTCGGCGTTGAGGCTATCTCCTTTTAGCAGAGCGGAAAGTTGTTACTTTGGGATGGGTTAGCGTTGTGGGTTTATTTACCTTCTTTTGAACCATAATATTATTATGTATTGGGCGAATTCTTGCACAATCGAAACTGGACTAACTACTATTTTCCATGCATGCTATTAAGATATTCACACCCTTCTTCGGTCAGGCCTACGTGACAGGTCTGCGTCCCTTGATTTTTACTTGGCCATAATTCCAGGACCGATCTCGGCACCTTTAGGAAGAGTTCAAATACCTAGGTAGGCTATAAATAATTATAATCACTGTGCCTAGTGCCTATGCTAGGTTTGAGGGTGTAGGTACACTACGATTTTCTTTAATAGTGTTCTAGCCGAAACCCATAGTCCGACTTGCTTCCTATCTGCAATCACGATGCTAACAATGTAATACAGAAGAGATAGTAATAATACGTGCTAAATAACGAACCTCAAGCCATCACGCCAAGAGCCGCGCTGCGTAATCAACCTCGTCTCTGATAAAGTAGCCCACCACAAAATCTTCTTTGTCCCAACCCTCGGTCCCGGCCCTGCCTATCGGCGCCGGGATGGGCCAACTACTGGCTCGGGTTGGTAGTGATTGTTCCGTACATACATACCCTATACACCGTTTGCTCTTATTGGTCTCCTTGGACACCTACTTGTATATATATACGGCGCTCGCCCGACAAAGGGAGTGGAATTGATCGATCGAGGGTGAATATTGCTAGGGTCGTTATTAATTTACATCGTAACGCCAGGAAGAAGGGTTACTTTGACGATCGCTAAGCGGTATGGAGTCCCGGAACGCTGGTTGGTGTTTATGATCGAGGATTCTCTGTGGTATTATCGATGGAGGGGGGGTTGTCTACCTACCTTATTACCTACATACAGAAGCATCACTACCGGTTATTAGGGGTGGCGAGTAGGCCATAATACGCGGCGGGTAGCTATCGGGCTAGGAACATTCGCTGGTGAAGGAGTTCTCGTAAATACCTAGTCAGGGGCTTGGGGGGTGCACCAAATCTTATCCCTTGCGTGTGAGGACGCGCCAATTATCTTCAACGAGCGACACACCCTTGTTGACGTCGATGTGCCGAAACATTTTCCTCTTTCCTAAGTAGCTTCTACCTAGGCGGCGGGACCGGCAGTTCCTATGTGAAGTAGGCAGGTATACGATAGATATTCATAGGGTTGAACGACCTGCCCCTTTTCTGCTTAGTTGACGTTGCCCTAAGGTGTTAAGCCCAAGCAGTTTTCTAATGCTTTAACATTTTGATAGGTAAGACGTGCTAAAACATCGCTCCGTGGTGGATCCCAAGTATGGATGAGTGATGTTGTGGTGATTAGCTACTTTAATTGAAGTTGGGTAGTCGTTATAGCCACAAGAGGCCGAATTACCTTTGGAACCTCGACTACCATAATGATATAGTTAATAGGTATAAGAAGCAATATAGGGGTTAGAGGCAGACGTAATATTTCAACTGTATTCGGGAATGATTCTTTGAAGCTTAATATTTGTATACGATTAGGTACCGAGAAGAAGTGTAGAGTTGCCAAGAAAGAAAAATACGGTACACGCTTCACGTCTCTTCATCTCTTAGTATATGTTCTAAAACATAGGATAATCGGACTTAACACGACTAGTATCTTCACCTTTCTCCGACCAGGTCTTCCTCGTACTTCCCTACGAATAACAATGCATTGTTCTATACCCGGTTTTCTTTATAAAGTTTCAGCATTCGACACGATACCCTTTGTCTAGAGAACATTCGCTTAGTCTTCTACAAAGCTCTGGTTCAGTACAATCGAACACAACAATGACTTGTGTTACTTTATGTGGTATTACAGGCATCTTCGAGACGATAGCAATGATTCTGTTTCACAACACGTTCTTCAACTTGAAAATGGCTTCATTGTGCATAGTTTCCAGCATGGGAAACCCTTCTATATTGTGCAGGGAATTTAGTTGTGAGAAGAAGAAAGTATATAACGTGTATGTAGAACCTAGAGCTTTCGATTCTGCCTTCATCATCTCGTACAGATTCCATCTCGTCAACCTTCTGCTTAACAATAAGAACTACTGCTCTGACAATCTTGATTATCTACAATCTTCGCCTGTCTAATTGGTAACTTTTACTCTTAGTATTTTATCCAAACATAAACAAAATGTCAAGATCGTTTTCTACGAGCTCTTCAAGAAGCGCCGCTGCGCAAATCACGTCTGATAACACCCTTAGTGGATTCTCCTTGCCCGACCCTGGCTTCGACCCTACCAACAACCACGCCATCAAGGCTTATTACGAGAAGAAGGAGAAAAAGGGTGTTCTCGCCGACGAGGATGGCATCGAAGACGACATTGAAGTGGAGGCTGAGAGAGCAGTCACCGACTGGGAGAAGCAAGCCGGCCGAAAAGCGACCGACGAGCAGCGCGAAAGCATGATGGCGAGAATTCGACAAATTCGTTCCAACGAATGGCTCGAAGGCGCAAAAACGCAACTCGTCGGGAAATCTACCGTTCCGATCGCTTGGTTCAACCGTGTCGTGGCAGACAATGAAGGCGTTATCCAGTTTGTTGCCCAGAAATCCGTTGAACTGAGACAACGGAGACAGGAGAATAACGAGAAGATCACGGAACTCCTAGAAGAAATCGAAACGCTGAAGAAGGCTCAGGCAGCCACCGGGGACATCGACAAACTTAAGGCCCAGGTCGAAAAACTGGAGCAAGAAGTTTCCACGCTGCAGGACGATCTCAAGAAGGCCGAAGAAAAAATCAAGAAGCTCGAGGAGGAGGAAAACGGCCAACTAAGAACTCAGCTCAAAGAAAGCCAGGGTCGTGAGAAAACTCTCCAAGATAAATACGACAGGCAACTATCCGAGCTAAATGCCAGCTATAGAAACCTTCGGGATCGAGAGGAAAAGGTTGAACAGCTCGAGAAAGAGGCAAGGGAAATACGGGCAAGGGAACATGCCACCAAAGCCGATAACAGGAACCTCGAGGAGACCGTCGCCGAGCTAAAGCGCAAGCTCGAGGACTATGAAAATGACAAAGCCACGGCAAAGATGAGAACCACGCCTGCCCGACCCGCTGAGTTCGACACCATAAAGATACTTCGAGAGCTCAAGGAGGCGAAGGAGACGAATAAGGAATTGAAACAAGAGAGCAGAGAGCTCCTTGATCGATGGCTCGCCCGGGTTGGCGACAGAAACAATCTCCTAGAGTTCTACAACGCCGTAGGCGAAGTAAGACAATCGATGGGCGAGTTAAAGCAACGAGTGGTCGCCTTTTACAACAGCCTTGGTCACGACGTCGACGACGTCAAATCTGCGGAAGAGGCTCTCGATATCCTCGAGAAGAATGTCAAGGAAACACCCAAGGATCCACTCAGCACCCGGCTCATGCCTCTCAAACTCATGGCTGAGATGCGGATACTAGAGAAGCAGCTAATGACGCAGATAGTCAGGAATGACACCCTGAACATGAAGCTTGAGATGGCTAAGCCGGACGAGCAGCTCATGATGGAGTTGCGTATGGATTACGGTGTGTACAATGACGCTGAGGTCGATAGGCGGGTTAGAAAAGAGACGCAGTTTTACCGGGAGCATCGTCGCGAATTAGTTCGCAAGATGTTAAATTGTAATGCCAGGTTGAACCAGATCGCTATCGACTGCCCTGACCTGACTACTCGAGATGCCATCACGAATGTGTCGCGGGAATATCTGTCTCCGGTCAGTATGATGGGGCCGCTGCCGGTACCTGAAGAGGAGCGCTAATTATCTGCAAACATCGCATTCTCAAAGCTGTCCTCGTTACCGTTTCTAGCTATAGTCCCCATAGCGCGGTCTTAATCCGGAGCGAGCAACTGACAATATACTATAGAGCGGCCGAGTAGCACTAAGAGTAGGGCCGGGGAAAAGGGGCTATCTAGTAAACTGCCTAGGCGTTTGTGCATAGGGATCTTCATGGTATTTGTTTAATTGTTTACTCGTATGTTTTATTTTAGTTAGTAGATGGTTGTTTACCTAAGTTAATGAATTACCGGAATATTTCATGTATAACTCACAATTTCACACCTACCTATGTCGTGTGTTTTAAAATGAAAATTTGGACGCCGTCGTGAGGCCACACTTCTCCGCCATCCATCCCTATACGAATGTTCCACTTCGGGCCGTTCCCGGCCATTATGTGCTGGCCACCTCCGACACTCTCGTAGCTCTCTCATTGACGTTAGTGCTGATCTAGTCGGAGTTTTCTGGAGTCCTGCAAGATCGACTTGCAGCGGTCGTATTAATGATGCGGGGAAAGCTCGCTAGCAAAATACCTACGATGTAACTCGAGCTTGTTCCAAGAGAAAGCCTAGAGGCAAAGAAATTTCTGAAAGACAAGAATCGCGAACCCATGACAAAGAGTGCCGGTATAGTTGCAGAGCTATATTGTTACCCCCTCGAATTTCCTTGTATTTCGGTTCACTCAACGGAATTTTTACCCCCCATGTACCTGCATATTTAAAATAAGTGGTTAGCCAGCTTTGAATCAACTATGCACGGACTGAAAGGGCGTGATGTTTTCGATAGCGGAACATCACTCCGTAGTTGAAGGACCGGAATAAAATAGGGTCACGGCAGTGTTGTCACGTTATGTATCCGGAGATGCATGAGAGAAACCGGGTGCGAACGCTCCCTTGTTGGACAGCAAGCGTCCAAAATCTTCTGAAATCCGTCTCAGTCTGACTATCCACCTCTCGTATTGACGATGTGTTTGGATAGGCTTTGTCTAAACAAGCTCAATCGCTTATGTAAAGGTCGCATAGCCAAGAGATCCCGATAGTAGGGGGCTGTTTTCGACCGGGAGTATGGAACGCCATTAATTATCGTGAGAAGTACGGTTGAGCTTGGTAATGCAGGTATGCCGGCTACCGCTGCAACTACCGCAGATCGCACGACATCAAAAGAAGTCTCCAAGGACTCTCATCTGGCTGCAAGCTTTATTAATCCGGGGAGATACTTAGGAATAGAGTGTCTCCATGGTTTCCCCAGATTTTCGCCCGGCAGAATACGGTGGGATGTTCCTTGTGAGATGCCGATGCAACCTGCAGGCTATCACAGCAAATTAATTTCTGTGAATGCATAGGCGATTCTCACGCAGCCGGGGGGATATTGTAGATAGCTAGGATAAATGGACGTTGATGTATTCCGAAGAAACTTGGCGTCACGTCAATATACCGACAGAATTAATACATAGGCATGTTAAGTCTAGTGAGGCTGACCTTGCATATCATGTTATTGTCTAGGCGAAGGGATTGTCGAAGATTATGTATTATTGAATCAACCGCGCAACCTAATGGTACGGATTGAATTGAATGTATGTGTTTTTCCCCTGGAAATTTACAGGTGCGGTAGGAGTGCTCGGTTGGCGAAAATACCTCTACATCAGGTAAAAGATAGGCGATTATGTTAATATATATACCATGTATGTATATTTGATTGGTCCCGGCATTTTCCTTGTTTAGATATGTATCGTGCCATTGAGCGAAAGCCTAATCTAGTAAAAAGATTCGAAGACTTCTTGAAGACCATTGATGCAAGAGCGAGAAGTATCACGTCAGCTAAACGCGAGTATACCGGCTCTGCTTCACGGTGTCATTGCTGGATACACGTAGTTGCAGAATTGGCCTGATGTTAAATCATCAGTTATAATTGATTGGTAAAAGACTTGGGTTAGATATTAGAACCGAGTAAGTATGCGGAAGGACTCATCTTGTCCCGATCTAGATAGATCCGACATGCTGCATGGCACTCTTCAAGTACAAAGAGCCTCATGGCCTGAATTCTTAGGCAGGATTAGTCCTCTTACAGAAGACGGACGTAATCGATCTAGACCTGAGGTCGAGTCAAAGGATAAGCAAAATACCCCTGACAAAGAAACCAGCAGTACGGGTTGATACGGTTAATAAAGCAGGCTATCCTACAGCCTGCTATTATCAGTTTCTCGTCCGATTCCTTTGGGGCCTGTGGTAGATTATATTATCGGTTCCTTTCTTTTTGATACTAACTGCCTAATTGAGCTCGTCGGTGAGGTAGCCATTGGTTCGTAGTGGAACGCTTTATCGTTAGATTGGTCGCAATGTAGGTGGAACAAATTTGATAACGATATAGGACGTGGTCTTTCACATGCTGGCAAGTTGCTGTCATAGTCTTGACCCGCCTGACAAATCTCCATGATTTCTAAAGGTGTAAGGGAAGCAAATGGCACAGCTGAGCAAAACATTTCCAGCCTCAACATGCTTGATGCTGACCTAAGGGCAACGCGTCGGAATTCTTAAAAACCAGAGACCCTGCAAACAAAATGACCCGTGGAGAATGCCAAGTGTTAAGGATCCGAGATCATGTATGTTGGTTAAGTCAGCGATGGCATCTCGCCTCTGGGTAAGTATAGATGAACTGTTACGATGGCGGTACATCGGGCTGTGAAGCAACGCAACCCGACCCCGGGATTAGTGGCTTGGAGATGAATCTGGTAGTAACACGTCCGTCTTGGCAGTAGACTCAGCCGGGATGAATAATCACGGATTTTGCCAATTCCCTGGGCTTGACATGAAGGTTTTCTGTGGTATTCAAGGAACCAGGCACCGTGACAAAGACAGCGTACACCACAGATGAGTACAATCCTTCTCGTCGTAATCCATGGGCGTACACCCTGATACCCGAAGGTCCAAGTCGGTAACAAGATGTCGTTCACCTGGGATTCGGATAGATTCTATGGTGTTCAGCGGCAGGGTTACAAAATATCTACGGCGTAGATATCTAGGAGACGCTCTCATAGGTAAAGGGGCGTCGATCCTTACACGGAAACCCCCACCGAAAAGTGAAGACTTCGTAGGCAGAGAATTACCAATTCATATCCCAATCGGGATAAAAACTTGTTGGCGGCTGTGAATCGTCCGGGATTTTGACGAGGTTCATAAAACCGATGTATTTATCCATATTATTATCGACTTCCGACAGTAGTATAGCTGGTTTAGGACTACGAACAAGGTTATCGTAGGGTTACCAAAGAGAAAATAGAAGGTTGAAAAGGGAAAGAAATCAGGGAATGGGACGAATCGCAGCAAAGTCCCGCTAGGGCTGCAAGGCATTAGAGTAGGAGGTACCTAGGTCCACTACTTCCTCTATTGGGGGTACGGAACGGGGCATTGGTTGTTGCGATCCACAAAAAAAAGTACCTACGGGTAGGTAACACCCTAGATCCCTGACAGCCGGTACCAAATGTTTCTTACTTTGTTACACACACCCTCACCTTCATCATCATCTTCACCATCTTCACCCTCCTTCTTCACTGCGTCAACCCGTCAAACCAAGGATAGTTATTCTAAGGGTCCAGAACATCAGCCCATACATCCCACATAGTTATCCACATATGTATTCTTTCTTCTATTTCCCCGAATAGCACTATACCATCTGGACCTAGAAATGCAAGTAGCCAGGTCACTTCGGCTTCATAAGCGTAACCTCGCTCCGTCCACACACGTCCATATGCGTCTACATACCTTAGTCACCCTCGCGAATAACACTTTCGTAGGAGGCTTACTGCTATACCTCCGATTGTAGCACCGTATCTTCACTCCAAAATGCAACTTGCTCGCTACCAGAAACAGGGCCAGCTTACCACTACCGGTGAAGCCATCTAGCCCCTGTCTGATACATTTTGCATGCATGTAGAGTTGTTAATCATGGCTCTCGTTGATGGACGAATCAATCCCGCGGACTATATGGTACTTCCTCTTTAGGCATAGAGATCCAGCTAAACGTAGTCTCTAACGACCATGGGAAGAACCGTGGCCACACGGACATGTGCTTCGCCAAGTTATTTCGACTCCGACAAGACTAGGAACTGCCATGATTTAACTCGGGCTGCGCCCAAGCCAAGAAGGATTGTGTTGAAAATAGTTGATAGATTACGTCCGCTTCATCCTTTGAATACTCTGATATCAGACCAACGGCTCTCCACTCGGACCCGACTTATCTACGTACAACAAAGGTGTGCCTCAACAGAGACGCGTCCTTGCGTATACTACTGACAGCACACCATACTGTTGTTGTTTTATAAGACCTATCATCCTCGTTCGTTTCTTGGGGGGGTTTCTGATCGTAGGCTCAACGCATCGTCTCATTGTTTCGGAGTCATCATTATATTAGCAACTATGAGTTCTCCAACATACGGGACGGCGTTAGCGGTCGCTTCCGAATCTTCTGCCGCTGCCGCTGCTGCTGCCTCTGCCGCCGCCGCCGAAGAAGCAGCATTCTATGAATACCTAGCGGAACGACAAATTAGGAACTCAGAAGTCTTAGTGTACTACGCGGCCGGACTGAGTTCCCTTATTGGCATCTTCATCATTGGTCATTGGCTTCGCTTGATAACTGTCAGGCTCGGCTGGTCTCGTAACCCGATACTTCTACCTTCCATTGCTATAGCAAGGTGAGCACGCTTGTCGTAAGAGATGGATGCATTCTAACCTAATCATGTCCTCAGAGTTTCTAGGAGGATATTTATACAAAGCCTACCTGGCTTTACCTCTATCGGACATGCCGCCGTAGTGACCGCCTATGTAGCTCTTAATGTCCTCTTTAGCTTCTACAACGTCGACTATAGCATGGCCACCGATTTATGTGCCCGGTTCGGCTGGTAAGCTCTTAATAACACCACTTCCGTTTGCCGCGCTAATGTGTGATGTGTTAGGATGGCAAGCGGGAATATGGTCTTAGTAGTCTTTCTCGCACTGAAGAACACACCTTTGGCGATTTTTACGGCTTACTCTTATGAACGGCTTAACGGCTTACACCAAATTGCCGGATACACCACATTTGTATACACCATCTTGCATGGCTCTATATACGCGGCCTACTTTATCGAAGAAGGAAGGATTTACATCCTCCAACTCGATATCGTCACTGCCGGTATTATCCTTGGATTTGCCCTGCTCTTCTCCGTTCTCGCTGGTACGATCTTAAGGCACTTTAACTATGAGCTCTTTTATATCGCACACTTGGCTCTCTTTATTGTTATCGTTGTCACTATGGGTCTACACCGTCCCAACTTCAACCCCGACAGGACGTTGTACGCGACCGTAATTATTGGCGCTTTATGGTTTTCCGATCGTCTCATTCGGTTCTGTCGACTTGTGTATAACAGTATCAACAACGAAGCCACTGTCTACCCTCTTCCGAATGGTGGCACTAGAATAGTGCTTAAGAAGCCTCTCCTACGTGCTCGACCCGGGAAGCATTGTTATGTCTGGCTACCGCGAATTCGCGCCTTCGAAACTCACCCCTTTACAATTGTCGCTAGCGAACCTATGGAGCTCATTATCAACACATATAGCGGCTTCACTAGGGCTCTCTATGAGTACGCGCTAAACAACCCTGGAGCGAGTCTGAAGGTCTCGGTAGAAGGTCCCTACGGCACACTGCCCGATCCTATGGATTTCGATAGAGTCGTATTGGTAGCAGGCGGCTCTGGCGCGACTTTCACGTTCGGAATGGCGGCTGATATGCTGGCAAGAATGTCTGAAAATTCCAGACAGCGAATTGACTTTATCTGGGCTGTTAAGGGTCATGGTAGGCGATCACACTTAATAATAAGTTTGTTGGGACTTAGAAGCATACTAATTCGTACCTAGAAAATCTAACGTGGTTTACGCAACATCTTCAAACCCTCAGCAGCCACGTTCACGCTCCGAAAGTCGCTCTTAAGTTGCATCTTACTAAATTCGCACCTACATCGTCTATTGACCGAGATGACTCCATAGAACGAGGTTCAACATCGGTTGCCTCTGCAGAGGTAAAACCATCGGCTCTCGAAAGGGGCCCTGACAATTCTACCATCAGTGCCCCCGGCTCTTCAGCCGCTACTCGGTACGAGTCCGACAAAGATGAAAAGTATACGGATACAATGCGGCATATGGAGATCCCTTCAGCGGCTACGAGTACGGTGATGTTGCCTATTGTTCATGGTCGGCCGGATACAGCAGCTGAGATCAGAGCCGCAGTAGAATCTCTGGATAAAGATCAACGAGTTCTAATCGCTGCTTGTGGACCTAATAGCTTGACTAAGATAGTCCGCGACATTGGGGCTAGCTACATCAGAGTTGACGGACCTGCAGTTGAGGTTCACTGCGAGCAATTTGGTTGGTGATTTGCGATTTATTTACGAGCATCACGAGTCGAGGATTTTCCTTTTTCTATTGTGTACCTATCTATAGTATACCTACGATGATCTATTGTCATCTATGTGTTTTTTTGGTGTAGACAGCGCTATTGGATATATCACCTTACGCCAGCTATCAGCTAGGGACGAAGGAGGCGTTTCTGGAATTCGTACTACGATTATCGATCTACATAGACATCGACACGTCATATGTCTCTCATCACTGTTACAAATATACCAAGTTTACTCGAACATGTTCTCCATATCTGGGAAATACTTAGCACCGTTTCGAGCCAGGATTTAACATCAGACATAGGAAGTCCGACATGTTTCTCGAAGGCCCGATGCAGTCGTGAATCCAGCCGTGATCATCGCCGGGGACGGGAAAAGCCCATCCCACAATCTGTGGAGCACGCATTAGCACGTCAGCGATCTACGACCGAGTATCCATCGCCGTGCATTTTTTACATGCCTCATTGGTAAGCTCTCTTACGACCCCGGCGCACCTTTCAGACCTCCAGTCGGGCCGCTCCCTATTACCAATAAATTACACAGCTTACGTCTGATTGGGAAACCAGACACTTAATCCCGGTCTTTCGATAGCAAGAGCCGTAGTGTAGACGCTGTTGCAATATCAGATTGCGTCGTATCAATCGGAGATCATTCTTCAAGGGTACCTTAGCTACTCGCCCGCCAAGTCTACTATGGCTACCTTACCTACCTACCTAACGTAGTCGGCGAGCCGCAGGGTAGGTTTATTACATCTATATAAGCATAAACATCATGTTATCGCTTCGTCCAATCAGGGCTGTGAACGGCTGTGTTCGAGGCGTACGCATATAAATGTGAGAAGGGCTACCATAATGACGAGCATGAGCGTGGGGGGCGTTCGCTTGTTAGTGGCTGGCTGCATGGGTAACCTACCTTATGTACGGCACGGTAGAGAGACAAAACGAAACAGTCCCAACACCGGTACTTGCCTGGTCCCATGCATGTTCTGCCCTGCACACCGTTTCGGCATCAAATAGATTATAGGGATGTACATATCCTTCTTGTGGCGAGCCAAGCGATTCACGGCCGTGTCTACATAGTAACAGCCCTCGATGCTCATGACGAGGCCTGGATCTTCCCGATATCTCGGTAACAACCTAAACAGCGCGCTGTTGCGCCCTTACGCCAGCACACGTAACGCCGCCAAGTATATAGAGAAGGATTGCGAGAATTTTCCTCGTCGATGGGCGAGTCTGTTTATTCTAGGTATATTCTACCCTTCTGTCATGCCCAATCCGGGCTTGGCCCGACCTGTCATTGGCCAGCCGGCGAATCCTCTGTGTTAGGCGGCAGAAGGACGTCAAAAAGGGTGGCGCACCTACCAGGATAACTGTTAGTAAAGGGGCGCCAGCTTTTTGACGCCTTTCTGGGCGGCTGACAGGATCGTCATCCCAGCGCGGGCCTATCCGGATTTATAGCAGGAGCCGGAGCGTGCGTGTGCAAATACCGTTGGCAAAGATACCTACACATATCACTGGATATGTTGGTGACGCGGGTGTGCTTACATGAGAATCTTATATCCCCACGAAGGCCGCAACGCACCCTATCGGCGCGGGCCCCCTCAGCCTCGCTGAGCCTAGATTGCGCGGACGGCGTGTGACGAGAGATTCGCCTGCAGCAACAGTCTGGGGATCGGACCCCGGGGCCTGTGCGCCCCGAGGACGTACGGCTCACGATGGAGTTTCTGGCAAGCCTAGGGCGCCGTTGGAAGAGAACGGCGGTGTTGAAAGCCCCGTAGTTTTGTTTCTCCGGGTGTCTCGGCACTCTGAGATGTCGTAAAGCCCCCTCAACGGCTAATGTCTCACAGCTTCGTATTTTCAGTTTCTTTTAGATTGGTGATGCGTGGTAGAATTCTCCTTACTTTTCATATAACTATGCCCAATCCCGTAGACTATTCAAATCTCACGGCTCCGTTTGACCTCTCTCTTGGGAGGCCTCACTTCCAAAGTGCACTTACCTTAGGTACTTTCACGCGCAGCTTCTGATGATGATGACGACGACGACGACATGGCTCGATTCACATCACAGATGTATTATACCGTTGGAACGTCTTAATGCATTCAATAACACCTAGGTAGTCCGCGGGAGCTCTACCGCCAGTTGCGCCTGTATCTCACTGGGCGGGGCCAGGATGAACACCCATCGTAGACGCTTTGAAATCACTCATCCCCAGTTAGTCGTGGCGCCGTGATTCGTCCCGGCGCCATGAGGTTTGATCTCTTGGCAAGCCACGTCGATTCCATGATCTGACAACCCCGACGCTTATGTCAACTAAGGTAGGTAAGTAGGACTTACATACAATCCGGTATGGCTTGTACGACAATTACGCACCGGGCTCGTCAGAAGGCCGCGTCAGACCTCTTCCATGTGGCTGCCGGGCCAAGAACGCTGTTATTGCTCCATTGGAATAACTCAGGGGCTGTGGGGTTATGAAGAACAGCGATGGATTAGGTACCTAGATATTGAGGCTATGGTGGATGATGTGTCATTTACTTGGCGGAAATAAATGGCATTCACTCCATCTCTGACACGCCCCGTACCGATTCGGGAGACTGTCGGGTTTAAGCTCGATACTGGGTAGAGTCGCGACGGCTTCTTATTAGACAATGCTCTTCATTGTTAGATGAACTCCTCATATATTTAATCCTTGTGAGTATGGTAATTTGTTACAGTTTTTGCAGATCGGAACTTGTACCAGCTGTTCGAGAAATTAGATATCAATAGCCGTGAGGAAAGTGGGTTACCCCTGTGCGCTTCTCAGTATGTTCGTGCCAACGGGAGTTAAGGGGCTATAGGGATTAGTTCCTTGGAATATAAGTGCGTAGTAGATAAGGTGGTCTAGGTACTTATCAAGCGATCATTGAATATATGACAATACTTACACAGAATAATCTATGAGCTTCTCAGGTATATTCCTATGAGGAAATGAACCTAACTAAACTATAGATGTGATATTTAATTCCCTATAGTGACCTCCATTATTTTTCCCCCATGACCTTCGGTCAATATATCAGTGCAAAATGTTTTAGGCCCCGTATTATTCGAAGAAAATTGAGTAACAGATAATACATGGTGATTTTCGTTTCTCAAAGCTATTGTTTTTCTTTATCGCACCAATTATATCCATGTTATCAAGTTAAGTTTAAAGCGGGTGGTTCGCCACTATAGAAGGCATCATAGACGATGGTATCAAGTATAGTGTCAGAGTGTCTATAGGGCCGAGGTAGCTTACCCCTCTTCTTAACACGGGAAGATACAGGAATTAAACAGGGTAGGCGCACTTTTGTCTAAGACTTACATGAAGAGGGTTTTATGTATAAAGGGGATGGTGATGCAAGCAAGCCGCGGGGTTTTATCCGTACGCATGTCTTAGGCGAGCATCTAAACTTCTGCGCCAACGATATTTTATCACCAATGTTGTTAAAGCGGGATGATTGCCACTGTTTATATGATGATATAGGTGATGGCTGCATCGCAGTTCCAGTATCCATCTTGTATAACTTCGTCGGATATGAGGTAGCGATGTGAGACAGACGCAGTACCCTTCATAATGTTATAGAGCCACCCTGTTTGTCATTTATTGGCAGCTTTCAGCACGGGCCTGTCAACAGCTAGCATAATTAAGAAGGATATAATACAATGCTCAGGAGTCCTCGGCCACTAAAGTGATTATATTAGCTCTAGGAAAGTATCAAGTGAGACATCCTACTTCAGCCCTGTCACTGCCACGTTATGACTAAGCTTAAGCGTGGAACTGGTATAGAAGCAATAGAAGAGAGACTAAAATAGAGCTATAAGAGAGATAATATGATTATAGAAGTGATATAAACTCTGAACTGTGTATATGTGTCGTCGTCCTAACATAGTTCCTTGACAACAACGCAAATAAAGACCAGGGCAAGGAGCGTATAGGCCAAAGTACCATCCCAGTTCTTAAGTATCTCCCAAATTGATCTTTAGTTGTCGGTAGCTACTGTATTTAAATGGGCCCATGATGCCTTGGGAACCCCATTATTCTTATCCGCTGATAACATGCTCTCTTCGCTCCCCTAGCAATAGCCTTGATGGAGGTCCGACAAGTTATGGTGTAGTAGTATTGGGGGTCTTCATACCATATTATCCCCCCTTTCTGTTGCCACCCGATCTCCAGTGTTAGCCCCTGAAACCCCCGGAATCACCCGCATCTTCACCAGTGATCTCAAACTTCGAGGGTGATCGTGATTAGAAACCGGTGGTATCAAAGGCTCGTGTGCGGTATTAGGTTGCACAGTTGATCTTGAAATAGAGGGTGGGTTTGGCCGGTGGGAGGATGATGGCCTGTCATGAAAGTTGGAGCTTTGTCTAACCATAGCGGTCATCTCAATGTTATTCGAAACGCGGCGTTGGGTAGGAACGGATGAATCGGTTTGAGTGAGAGATTTCTTGTCATCATAATCTCTATCATCGCCACTGGCTCTGGTTGTGAAATAGGAGAGTTTCTTTGAACAAGACCTAGCATAATATCAGGTTAGATTTATGTAAGATTTACTAATCAAGCTTTTGCGGGAGGTAAAGACAAAAGTAAGATAATTGTTACCTTATCCAACTGAAAAGTAGAATGTCGAGAATTGATGACAGTAGGGATACCTTCTTATCGCGGTTTCGGAGTTTCATATAGAATCTGAACACTAAGAAGGTGACCATGGTCAAACCAATGGATATTGAAATATAGATCCAGATATAACCAGACACCACTGGTGGTGCCATTGTTCCACCTGGGGCCCCGGAACTAGGACCCGAAGAGGATGAATTTCCATTATCCACTGGTCGATATCGCCAGTCTCTCCAGTCGTTAGACCACTGGAAGATTGGCATAGCGAATATCGTCTGTTATATTCTGTCAGGTATCATACGATGGCATAGACCTTGAAGGACTTACCGCCATTGTTGTTAGGGGAAGGTAGACCATAGCCACAAGCGAGATCCCAGTAGCGAACTTCGAATTCTCCGTACTGGTTAGGGCTTCCTGCCTCGATAGTTCGCTCCTTATCTAAGTATTTATTAGCAAAGAAAACCTATACCGCTAATGACCCCTATAACGAGTAGAGTTGAGGGAGTAACTTACTATGTCCGTAGTAAAGGAAATACCTTCGACAATTACTCGGCATCTAGCACTTAAGCCATCAAGCCTAGTAACTATATCGTTAAATCGCTCTAAAAATAGGTTTGTGATCTCGGCCTTTTTCATTAACGATTCATCTTCCCTCAACGATTCGTCTTTCAGCTCTTCTTCTCTCTGGGTCTGAAGCGTCTTCAAGGCTGAGGAGCAAGCCTTAGATAATTGGAGTTTCGTTGCCTCGACTTCTTCTTCAACCTTCTTACTCTCCTCTCGGTTCAATCTCACAGTTCTAATCGTTTTCCAACTGAAACGGTCTTTCGCATCGTTTGCCGCTTCAGATTCTACATCATCCATGAGCTTTTGATATTCATCATACCTTTTATTAACCATGGTAACAAGGCGATCCAACTGTAACTCAGCGTAAATTCCCAGCATGAGTAAAGGATGTCCTATGGCATCCTTCCAAGTGTTTACTAGCCCCTTTATCCTGTAAATTTGCGAATCTGAACAACTGAACATAACACCAAGCGTTGTGTTCTTCCTATCGAAATGGGTTCCAGCCATAGCAAATGAGTTTTCGTCGAAATCAGGATTTGTGACTGCAGTATGCATCCATATCTTCTCTCTGTTCTCAAACCGGTGCGTACGAGATATGGAAGTCACAGATGTTTGCTTTCTTACTGCAAGCTTTGGAAAATGACCAGGCAGGTGAAATGCCTGAACTATTTTCTCCCAACTTTCCGAAGAGTCTTCGTCTAAAGGAAGATCCGTATACTCCGACGGTAGACCTTCTCCCACGGGAAGAGCCTTGGGAATACAGCTACAATACATCAGTCGATTATGTTTAGCAAAGGCAAAATGAATAGGGGCATACAGTATTGAGAACCCGTTTTGGGGTAAATTATCCATGGCGAAGGAACCATTCTCGCCCTGGACAAAATTTAAATGCTAGTCGGCAAAATATTAATTGTTGATTAGTATAACGTATGGCATGCAACTTATTCAACGGCTAAATAGGCGCATACGTACCTCGATCCAATCCTGCCATCTTTCTCGGTGCTCTAACTCGATTAGTTGAGCATCTTGATCCTGTCTTCTAGATTAGTATGGTCGATAGAAAATCGCCTATTATTAATTCGCTCACATCCAATTTCCAGTTCTGGATCACCTTGCAAATTTGCCCTTCATCATGAACCTGAAAACCGTAGTCGAATAAGTCAAAATTGTTAGGAGCTATAAACGGGTCAGAATCGGGGAGCCAATCCATCTTGATAATATTATGCCTTAGAGGCTGAGGTCGAATGCAAAAAATGCATCTCAATACTTAGAGTCGTGTAACTACCTACCCTACCTGGATACTTATATTGGACTTCCCTTCAATTAAGGTAAAATTTCTGTATCAAATTTCAAACAAAGATACACAATATTTCCATTCTCTTCATCTCGCATGAGCTGAGGTCCAAAATGTGGTTATCTTGCATGAGCGTCCCGGAGGCTCATTGGCTTGAAATAGTTGAAGAAGCAGGCTATGGATTGTTCGGTTACCTCGGTGGTAACAAACTCGGATCACGTCAGACGCACTTGTCGTATTGGAGGACTCCGGGGCGTCTGCTGCAGGCTGAGCTGTGGCACCGTCCATGCGTGGCAACATACATCTAACTAGGCAATATTACCGTCTCCAATTTACCTAAATCCCCTTGGGCACTGAGGACTGTCTAATTTACCGTTCGAACTAAACAATAAGCGCAACAGGTGCCTCCACGATGAGCGCCGAAACCTGGCCCGAGTTTCGACTGCTTGATAGATATATCAAAGCAAGTAAACTGATAAAATATCTCAATGAAAGATTTGGAAATAATGGTTATAAAGTTTCGGTATGAATGCTTGGCCCTTACACACACTGGTGATACTATCGAACGATCCAGCTAACTTATATATTCCCTGAGATGAATTCAGATACATATATAATCAAAACCTGTAGGAAAATTACTCCCGTGAGTCGCTTTCAACGAATATAATACATCTAATCGCCTTTCATCCTGAAGACTGATGAGATGGTAGACAGAGATGACTGAGATCAAAGCATTGTCTGCGAGATTCTCCTCGAGATCGTCATCACGCCTCAAGATGGCCCCCTCAAGCAAGAACCCCGATAATTCCCAAAGAGCCAACCGACTTAGCCCTATACCACAAGCATCACAATCCGCCACCGACCTACGCCATAGTACCCCCATCGGCCTCGGTCAAGAAACGCCAAAACCTATCAAATCATCGACCACGACAGAACGTACAGGACTTTTGAAGGGACCTTGGTCAAGAACGGCGGCAGTCTTGAGAGCAATAGGCTTGTTGGGCCCCCACGGCACTACGAAAAAAAACGATAGCTAACGAACGATACGTTAGCGACAGACTATATGGCTTTTCGACAAGGGCATTCTGCCATGATTGATTTGCCGTTTCCCAAACATCGAAAGCATCGAGAATGGTTTCAAGCATTTATTATGGAATGTCCGTCACGTATATGTTGGATGATCTCTTGCAGATTAAATGAGGCCCAAAGGCAACAGTGCTTCCGGACAGAAGGATCAGGATGAGAATTTTTGGATAGCTGTGATTATCAGCTGAATGTGACATTATACGAGTCGGGTTCGGGTTGATTAAATTGTGCATATACCTGCGTCATCTCCTTTTTTTCCTTTCCTTTTTTTTTTCAGGCTTTATTGTCGAGGGTTGGGTTTGAACTACTAGGTAGGTACCTACAGAATCATGCTTTATGATTCTAAATATGCGCGATACAATTTGTAATAGGATTAAGGATTTTTTAATACCTACTATATAATGGGAATGGGATATTTTTCTAAGGAATCGTTTTCGCTCCCTCCCCTTTTTTGTTGATTTCCCCGTCTATGGTTGGCGTAGGATACTTCGACGTAGCCAAACTCGAGTGATCCGATGGACCTAGTTAATAAGAATCAACATCACCCACACATTGCAACCGCAATACTCCAAGTTTCCGAAATATTTCAGCAGCCGTTCGTCTATCCGAGCAATTAACGACAAGCATGTCGTACTGAATCATGTCCAAAAAGTCCCTTGGATATCCGTTACATGACTTGTCGTTGCGGAGACCTTCAATCCAAGTCACGACTTGGTGCTTAAGAAGAACATTTATTTGGCCTTGATGATGTTGAAAAGTGAAAAATGTATCGGCGTTGATGCCATAGATGTCGATTTCCATGCGATGTTCAGGGAACTCGACCCGAGCCGCGGTGCTCCCTTTGAGGAACCAGGTAATGAACTCTAGAAAAGTGCATCCCAAGGACCATATATCGATTGCTTGCGATATCACTTTGGTCGTATCGAATTCTGGAGCCCGGTAAGTCATGGACCTAGGAAGACTCGATGTTCTTGAACTCGTCGTCGAAGTAGCACGGTGGAAGTCTGCCAGTCCAAAATCTGACAGAACCAATTTCCCGAGATCACTTGTGCTTTTAGCGCACGCGTTCGGATACCAAAGAATGTTCGATGGCTTTATGTCTCCATGCCTTCCGAAAGAATCTGTATTATCTGTTGGGTGGCGAGTGTCTCCGTGGATACATGAGAGCGCCCTAGCAATTTCATAGCACTCACGAGCAAACCATGGAAGGACCTTGATATCCCCGACGAGCTCTTCGTTCATCTCCCAAAAAGACCTCAGATCACCCGTCGCCCAAGGAAAGATCATGCAATAACTTCTTAGGGGCTCGTCGGCAACCGTCTCCCTAATCTCATATGTTGCCAAAAGCGGAACTATGTTGATATGAGACCTCCAGTGACGCTTGAATCCTTCAATCTCCTGGGCAAAATCTTCATAGTCGGGTGTCCATAGCTTCTTCACCGCAAACTGGTGATCTGGGTTGCTGATCTGATCCAAATTGTTAGCTAGTTATTCCAAGTTAGACATACTCTTCTAACTTGCCCCATAATCGCCAAAGTCATAATGATTTGGATGAATCTTCACCCTTCGAACCTGGCTGAAGGAACCGTTTCTAACCGATTCGTCCAACGGATACGATAGCTTAGCGCCACCAGGTGAATCGAACCCATTCTGAAGGAAGGGTAGAATATAGTCGTGTGTGAATATATAATGAGGGATACTATCTCGTCTGATGAAACGTGGTGATAATAGACACCATTGCCTCACGTATATATTGCGTAGATCAGATCGTTTTAGCTGTGAGTCAGCTAGAGAATTCCACTCATTCCAAACAGCAGCATCTTCATCATCACAGGAGCCCGATAGTTCATATGACAGGAGTATTCTCGGGTCTGGCATGGGAAGAGCTAGGTCATCAATTCCAAGGTCCACGAACGGTACGATCGCTTCGGGTATGTCTGTTAAAAGAAGCAACGCCAATATCTTTCGAAAGGGAGGGTTCTGACCACAGATCTTACGTGCATAATTTTTAGGGCCATCTGGAAGTTTATCACGGAGAATAGATAGTTCTGACAACACGCGACCGACAGTATTCTCGTCTAGTATCCGCTCCAGTGTTCCATCGGGGATGAATTGCTTGCCAGTCTCGTTACCTAACAAGCAGTCATCAAGCCTCGTTTGAAGAGTGGTAATTATTTCCAATGAATGCCCATGGTCAAACATGATATCGGCATTATTGTCATGTGGCCGTAAAGGAGATGGCTCCATTAGAATAGGGTATTTTGGCGGGTTATTTGGAAGAGATGGTGGATTATTTCGGCCTGATGGCTGCGGAGTAACCTGAAGATGTGAGATGCGAAGGATAGGATTTAATACCTCTATCCTCCTCTAGAAGCCCCATCCCCTAATACAGATTGTAAAACTATCAGCGAATACATAAGCTTGGAATATAATGTAGATAGCTGGTTGATGCTTGATATATTTTATTAAAAAGACCTGAATTTGATAAAAGCCATGGTCACATACCGCAGGGAAAGTTAACATGAAGCCATAGTTTTTTACCAGAGTCACGCTCACTTACATAGGTACCTACTGCACGTGGCTACATTCACGGCCACCGGATATCATATCAGTATGTCGAGCTGAAGTACGCCAAGAGAAAAAAAGAAAAAAAATAGAAACCCAGTAAGGTGTGAAAGAAACGATGTTATTGCTAGTAAATAAAATAAGAATATAAAAATAAACCAACTCCCCCGGAAAGGCTCGAACTTTCAACCTCCTGATTAACAGTCAGACGCGCTAGCCAATTGCGCCACGGAGGATGGACTTGGGAAACTCATTGATTGGCTCAACGAGTCGCATGATCTTGGATGGATCCCCGATCTTGCTTGTGATAATCGAGTTGCAACTTTAGCTTATAAAGGTTAAAGCACCGTCTGTGTAGTTTTCCCGAGTAATACCCGACTATTTCAAGACTCACTTCTTTTTTTCATTTGCGGGCCAGATATCGTAGTGGGGCCAGTCTTTGATAAAACTGTACATAGAATCACTACAGTACAACTACATATCCGAGGCTAGAATTATAAGCTACCTAGCAAGGAAAAGATAGTCTTATCTCCTCAGGTACCAGTGAGACACGGTGAATCATCTCTCGAAATCTAGGTAGTTTGATATATTTGAAAGGTTCACCATCAATCCTGATTGGATATACCCTAGTAGGTCTTCTCTACCGTGTATCGCTGACACTTGAGGACTCACGACATGAGATGGCAATAAGACAATGGAAATATGTATGCTTAGAAATATTATATGGCTTAAAATTGCATAAGCTCATATTATTGTTAAGAAGTTGGGAATGTGTCAGAAGTTGCCTGATTCCACGTTATTATATCCGCGAGCCTCGGTGTCTTAAACCAAAGATGTAAAACAATCCATTATTATTTATGATGGTTTGCCCTCCTGTGCCCAAAGCTGATAGTCGACTCATATAAAAAGGGTATATCTGACGTTTTATCTAATCTAGACCTATCTAGACTCATAAAACACCATTGCCATTATATGGTCATAGCATAAGATAGATACAAGAAATTCGCCGAAACCCACCGTTGTAGATGATAATCGCCATCTCTCTACATGCTCAGTGCGATCTGACAGGTCATCGGCAAAGTGAAGATTCTCAGAATATCTGGTTAAATTATCTGTGGTATCTCATTCTCAGTCTCAGTCTCAGTCTCAGTCTCAGTCTCAGTCTCAGTCTCATTCCCAATTACCTCGGATTCACAGATATATGTGTATCAAGTAGACACACCATAATCCGAGCCAGCTTCTCGATCCCAAAACGAAGAGATCTTCCTTTTCCCCTCCGTCATCTAATAACCCCCCCTTCATCTTACAATCCCCTCTTCATCTAATAACCCCCTCCGCCATCTAATAACTCCCCCTTCCCCCAGAGTTACCATCACTCTTCCCGTAAGCGATAGGTAATCGATTTCTCCTGCAGCTTTGAGCCATTCTGACGCTTATCCTTGGACTGGTAGAAGTAAACCGCGACCACAAATTTGAACCGTGGGAGTCGGTCCAATATATCCTTGTACGCCGGCCTATTTTCTCGTCCGCTGTCGAACTTCCACGGGATGAAGGTCTCGCGCAGCGCGCCGTTCTCCTTGAGCCACATAGTCCGCACACACTGGAGAAAGCACTTCATGTAGAAATTCAAGTACCCACTTGAAATCTGCTCGTATGTTTGCAGCACGTCCCAATTCCGAGTCGATCCCTTCCGAATAGGCGCCATGCTGCAGGCAGCAGACAGCATCTTGACCTGTCTATCATTGTTGATGTCGACCAAGACGGGCGTCTCCTCGGCGAAATGTCCAAAGAGGCCCGAAGCAATAGCATCTTGATGGTTCAAGTGGATCTCGGTGCTTGTTAGAACCACAGAGCACTCCCCTCGCTCGATGATGTGTTTAAGTGCCCACCGAGCAAAATCGCTGCCTTTGGGGTGTAAGGGATCGAACCCGAGAAATACGCTTCTGTTGACGCTCAATGGGATGTTGCTACCGTCGACAAGTTCTCGCAATCCCAGCTCGGCACCCTCATCATCACTACCGTCAAGACGGAATTTGCGGTAGTGATCTTCGTCGATATAGATTACATCAGTGCTCCGGTCGAACCACACAGGCGTGTTGAAGAATGCTGTCTTCTCCATACGTCCATGCGTTAGGGCAAAGGCACGCGACTCGTGGCAGACATAGGCGATCAGCGGAAGTTTGGCTGACACAGGAGGTCTTACACGTAGCCGACTCTTCAAGCGGCTTGACTTAAACTTCTTATGGGCTGAGTCGTGCATTTGGACAACGCGGCGCGGTAAGCAGTATGACCATACCATGCAACGAAGTTCCGGTGGTAGCTTCCGGAATTTCGGGAAGGTCTGTACTGCTCCAATGGAATCCTCCATGGTCGAATCTTTCATGATGGAATCCTCCATGGTCGAATCTTTCATGATGGAATCCTCCATGGTCGAATCCTTCATGATGGTATCCTCCATGTTGGAATCCTTCATAATGGAATCCTCCATGATTGATTTCAGTCCGCTCAGAAACTGCCGTTGACGATGGAAGGATATTAGATTTGTATCCTTGAAACGAGACTCGAAGGTTTGATCGGAAAGATGTTGTGTTATTGCAGGGTTTCGAGTAGGGACCCTTGTCTTGAAGATTTGAAATAAATAATGGCCTTGCTCAAGGACCAACAGCTGTCCATGACCAACAGCTGTCCATGCCCACACCAATTGTCAGTCGACGGGACAACTGGCGATTCTCGAGCAAACCGCCGGTAAAGTGGGCATCGCCGGCTCCCTAACCGTATCTGGTATTGGTGACTCAGGTGTTTTCGCGTTGATACGTTGATACACGTTGATACACGTTGACACGGTGTATTTCAATGAGGTGGTAAACATTCCTGTCAGGATGTGTGAGAGACGGTGAATCATGTATTTATTACCTGTGTTTTTTTTTGCACTGCCACTATTTACAATCTAACGAGCTTTGTTTTAGCTCTATTCTTTACCTGTTGAACTTATAAAATACAAGTCAGCATGAAAATTACAATGACAAGACGAGCGTATGGTATATTTAATACCTTCTGTTCCCGTCGGGATATCGACATCGCTTCCAACACATATAGGTACATCTCTGCGTCTATCCAATGCTAATCCGTATTTAAAAGCCTACAAGCCTACAAGCCAACGGTTGATACCATTACCAGCCGTGAAGCGTAAGCGTAACTAGTGTTTCGCAGAGGATAGCCCTCGCTAGTCTGTTGCTACCTGTACGTAACTCGCTGGTACGCTCTTGGTCGCGCCGCCTTTTTCTACTTCGGCCCAACCGTCACCTGGGTCTTCCTTGATCAGCACAAACCTTTCGCCCTCCGTCATACTATGTTCGGCTTCGCTCTGCGCTGTGTAGTCGTACAGCGCGACAACGTACTTCAACTTCTTAGCACCCCGGCGCGGTGCGACTGCTGGCCCTTTCTTCTTGATACCTGGGCCAGTCGTGTTTATGGATGATCCCGAGTTTGAATAAACGGATGCGGGTCGGTTGTTTATTGAAGAAGAGCCCGTATCTTGGGGGACGATCGGCTCTGGGAAGATTTCTAGGTAACTGGCAGGTACTAAACCTTCCTTGTAACCAGCACGGACTTTAACCCATCCTGATCCATCTGTGACGCTGTGAGCAAAGGTAGGTAAAATACAAGTCACGGATAAAACTCACCATCAGGTTCAAGGATAATAACCTCCCGCCCCTCAGGAACGGAGAGTTCGGTATCCCCATTGGCATCAAAACCGTACAGCATCTTACCCTTCTGTTCACTAGCCTTCTTTGAGAACGAGCTACTGACTGCACTACCGGGTAGCTCGCTGATATATGCGGCAGGTGGCGGAGCGACAAGACGACTCTTTTTTACGGCTGGTCGAGGGCCTGAAGGCTCGGGGGGTGCTTGTGGTTCTTCAGTAGGGGTACGCGGGCTTACTGTCGAGCCGCTTATCGATCGATTAGCACTCGCGGCATATCCGGAGCTTAAAGAGTTCAAAGTATTGGATCGACTCAGATCTGGAAGTTCTGCAACGTGCTCCGGTGGACCGGAAGGAGGTTTTAGTAGAGCTCCTGCTGCGGACTGTCGCTCCGACTTATACTTCTTGCGTTCTTCTTTGGATAGCTCTCCAGGGCATTCGGCAGGTACTTTCATTTCACATTTACTGTGACATGTATATCCGCAATCTCTGCAATCAAAGCCCTTTGCAGATAACCCCCATATTCGTTCACCGCACAAGTCGCAATTCGTTGGTATCTTGAACGTTTGCGACTTGAAATTGTGATTTTTAGCGCCCAGGGTGACATCCCCAACTGCCGATGTGATGGTTGAGGTTTCAACTTCGGCCGTCAACCTTTTCCGGTCTACTTGATGCAAGTCCTCCTGCATGGAAAAAATCTGCGATACAACAAGCACCTCGTCCTTGTTTTCCGTTCCCTCTCGTATCCTTTGCTTAATACGCTTTACACCGTCGATTTCTCTCCTCTTTTTATCAACTTCTCGTCGGAGATCCCCTAGCTGACCTTTGGATTTGTTTAGTACGTTGCGCAAAAATACTTTGGCCGGTTCGTCGGTGACCATGAGGTCGTCATCGTGCCATACCGGACTGGGCTCGAACACCTTATCAGATGGTTCTTGCCACGGACCCATGTTATGCTGGATATACATCATAGAGTCTAAGTGCGGTTGGTTTCTGGATATTTCTTGAGCGACGTTTTCGACAAGACTAGTACTCTGCCGTAGCATTGCCGTCTCTAGATTCACGGCCGTAGTCCATAGTGCATTTAATTTCATAGTACGGAATTCAGATAGGTCTTGTAAGCTGTCTAGCAGTTCAGGGACATATTCGTGATAATACTTCTCCTTCTGCTTATTGGTCACGTTGATAGCTATCAAATACGTGTTCTTGACGTTGCTCATCTCATGCAGCTGCTGCTGATAATGGCTTTGGGCCTTGGCCTTGTCGAAGGCGGACTCGGTCTTCTTTCGCTTGCTTTCCACCTCTTGGCATGCCGCATCGTACTTTGTTTTGGTCTTGCGCAGGTCGGCATACGAGGACTCTCTTTCGGCTTCGAGTTTCGTGGCATATTCGACGTGACGCTTACGTAGCTCTTCAAACCTGCCAGAAAAATATTTCAGGGGATCGGCAACCTTTTGGATAAGTTCGTTTGCGTATTTCTCGTGCTCGTCGGCTAGTGATTCGAGGGTTGTAAGATGGGTTGTCCATATAGTTAGGGATGCATTCTCGAGGGAGCCCGGAGTCATAGCAGGCGTGTCGCCAACACTTAAACTAGCAGACTTTTTATTTTTCTTTTCGAAGTACTTCTTAGCTAGGGCGTTGAGCTTTGCGCTGTGTTCCTTCTCAATCACGCTTCGTTCTCGGTAGAAATTCTGTATGTCGTCCAGCCACGCGATACCGTTGGCTACCCAAGCATTAGCGGGTTTGAAGCCATCCTACAAATCGCGGGTGTTAGAATTTAGCAACGCCCATGGAGGAAGTGGCAGAGTGGATAGAAAAAAGATGGGAGAGCAGTGGTGAATAGTAGTTAACGCACCTTTAACTCGGTACCAAAGGTTGGTACCGCTTCCACCTCAGCCATTGCGGACCAGATATGCCTTTAGGCATGCAGGCGCAAAAGCGACAGGTTCGCGATAAATATTTGATATGTAGGCTGAATCTGTTTTGTAGGTCTCATCTAACAGAGCCATAGCATGAGTACGAGTTTTATTTAAATAGATACGGAACTGAGGCCTCGGTTTTGTTGGTAGTGTCGTAGGTAGTCCGGGGGGGCTGAAGAATGACGAAAAAGGGTCGAGCGCTGCAGGGCGAGTTATTAGCACCTGTTACACACCTACGTATTCTGGATTGGCACAGCCCACTTTGCTAACCTTTTTACTGGCTACCCAACCTAAAAGTTGATGCCCGGCTGTTCGGTACAGCGCTTTCCTTTATACCTAATTGGCATGTGCGTAACCCCGTCTTGTAGAGGAGAAGTATACGAAAGTAGACGTATACGTAATTGATTATACGAGTAACATCTGCGAATGCATTAGGTACTTGTACCGACTAGTGATACGACTATTGGAAATTATTGATATTTGATCGATTGCACCTGCAACGTCCGAGTACTCAGCTGGCGGGTTGCCTTTCAGGGGTGCCCCTCTTCTATAACCCCACTAAGAGGTACTAAGTATTGTATTGTACATAGCGACATGGAAGTTGCCCCACCAAGTGACAGCTTCAATGGAAATGGAAAAAGCTCCATTCCAATCCAGACATTCCAAACCAGATCTACCTAAAGTTAAAGAGACATCTACATGCCACAATCTACATAACCTCGCTGCCGTCTTCTTCCCCTTTTCCTTTACAGTACAGGGATACAGAGTGGATATCTAGATATTAACCTTGGGATTCTTATTAAATATTTCTAGGGCATCGCCTTTGTCGTCCTTGCACAATCGCCCCTCCATCCTTTCTTGCCTGGAGATTAACGTCGACGCAACCGGGCGAACAAATATCGTGCCTCTGAAATTTTATCTCGATATCATCCTCGCGTATTTACCGTGACTACGCGCAACGTACTTCGGTTGATCTTTTAGCCATCCGATAACCAAACACATCGATACCTCGCCTCGCGCATCGCATATCATAATAACCTTCACCATGGCCGACCTAGCTAGTCGCATTAGCCAGCCTGCTCCGGCTCAAGGGCAGGCCCAGCAGAATGAGGAATCTAGGCTCCAGGAAAGCAGTTACGATGTTGAGGTCCAGCTCAGCGACCTTCAGAAGGACACAGAAAATCCTCTTGGATCTGCTCACACATTCGAGGAGCTCGGTTTGTGAGTGTTACGTTGAAATATAAGTAGAAAAAACAGGTGCTAACCTACCTAATCTATTTTCTAGGCCAGCGGAAGTTCTTAAGGGTCTCTCGGCGATGCGATTCCAGAAACCATCCAAGGTTCAAGAGAAAGCGCTGCCACTAATGCTTGCCGATCCTCCTCAGAATATGATCGCTCAGTCTCAATCTGGAACCGGCAAGACGGCGGCCTTTGTCACCACGGTCCTGTCCCGTGTCGATCACACTAAGCCAACCGAGCCTCAAGCTCTGCTCCTTGCCCCCAGCCGTGAGCTGGCTCGTCAGATTCAGATGGTTATTGGCCATATCGGACAATTCTTACCCAACCTGGCTATAGCAGCCGCTATTCCCGGCGCCATACCTCGCGACGGGCGTGTCGATAAGAGTATTGTCGTCGGTACACCAGGAACTGTTATGGATCTGATTCGAAGACGTCAGTTCGACATCTCCCACTTACGACTGCTTGTTATTGATGAGGCCGATAACATGCTGGACCAGCAAGGCTTAGGCGACCAATGTACCCGAGTCAAAAAGTATGGCCTCTGTTGTTTAGAAACCCCAGCTCACTAACATGAGGCTAACAATCTCTTGCAGAATGCTACCTCAGAACATCCAGATTCTCCTTTTTTCTGCTACCTTCCCCGACAAGGTTTTGAAATACGCCACGACCTTCGCGCCTAACGCGAACATGATAAAGCTGAAGGTGCAGGAACTCACAGTGAAGGGGATCTCACAGATGTACATGGACTGTCCCTCGGAATCGGATAAATACGACATTCTCTGCAAGCTGTACGGTTTGATGAACATCGGTTCCTCTATTATTTTTGTCAAGGTAAATTTTCAGCAACTTAGTAGCTGGTACGCGCGCTGTCTGCTAACAGAACTAGACGCGAGATAGCGCCACCCAAATCCAGCAAAGAATGGCAAGCGACGGTCACAAGGTATCAGTTCTGCATGGTGCCTACGAAGGGAGCGAACGAGACGCGCTGTTGGAAGAGTTCCGAACCGGAAAGTCCAAGGTTCTCATCACGACCAATGTCCTTGCCCGTGGAATAGATGTGTCCACGGTGTCTATGGTCATCAACTACGATATCCCGATGAAGGGAGTAGGAGATAGCATGCACGACACGGAGACCTACCTCCACCGTATTGGTCGAACCGGTCGTTTTGGCCGTGTCGGTGTCAGTATTACCTTCATCTCAGATAAGAAGAGCTTTGATGCCCTCAATGCTATCGCACAAGATCTCGAGATTGACTTGGTCGCGTTGAAGCCTGACGACTGGGATGAGACGGAGGAACAAGTCCAGCGAGTGATCAAGTCGAGCCGAGCTCAAGCAGATTTTGTTCCAAGCGGAGGAGCTGCGTGAGAGGGGCCAGGATTGATCGAAATCGGCTTACCAAGTATTGGGCGAACCAGTTTCGCGTGTTGGGCCATGTATGCGACTATTTCGATATCGAAACTACGAGGAGTGAACTACGTGGGCATTTCACCAAGCCGTTGGTGCGCTGAAACCGCTTTTATTTTCTCTTGAGGCGCTCAATAAATAATAATCCTACGCCAGAGGATTGTAGTTAATGAGAGACGACTAGATACCTATTCACAGAAAAAAAGTCATTTGATTTTCCACGATAGAATTCTGCTGGAAGAATCCTTTTTCCATGTAACCTTCCTATTCGTTCGGCTTCGCCTTAATCGGCGTGCTGTTTCGAAACACGTCTATGGGAGAACCATAGTATCAACGAAACAAAGGAGGATGCGGTCTCCATCTAAATATTCTCAAGCTTCTCTCCACGCGACGCACGTGGCTTAAAATCGAGAACGAATATAAGAACGGGTTTCTAAATAGAGTGATTCGGAGCTGCCAAGAAAAAAAAATAAACTTGTTGATATCCTAGTCATGACCACGAGGACTTTGCCTAATCAACTATGTTTATATTATTAGCATCTTGAAATTTGGAAGGTTTCTAGAATAGGTACCTATCTAGGTAGGTAGGCAAAGAGCTGAGCAGTAGACTGCTACAAGGTATTGGCAATAAATAGAGCATTTGAAAGTTACTTAAGTTTAGTTATAAGCTGCCTAGGTAAGCATCTAAAGCAGATATTTACTCGCTCTATCTTCTTTAATAACTAAGTCGATGCCGAACATGTTCAAATGGGCCGGGGAAGCCGATTCCATACGTCTTGCAACTGGATTCCATACTTCTATTGCTGACGTTTTCTTGGTGATGAATTGTTGTAGGAGTGTCATGTCGTAAATCGCATACTCGATAAAGCAGGAGACGACGATAGACGATACCTAGCAGTATTTCTGAAACCGGCTAGGATATCCTTTTAGTCGCACGTTGAAGAGCTTTAATTGTTTTAAGGTTGGACGACAGAGGCACAGCGAGGCCTGATTGGACGATCGTCATTGGAACCCCTGGTAGGAATCGAGGTACATTTGTAAGTACCTGCTTCTTAGAGGCACGAACTGCGCAGACGGTGACGTTGCACGCGGATTGCTACCCGATTGCTATATGCGAAGAGATGCGGATGAATGCATATGCATATATGCATATTGAGGTGTATATTCATCAATGAAATGACGGCGGCTGTGGGCTGGCTTAGCCTTGGTGATGTGTAGGTGCATATACATATATATCTCACTATTTAAATACCACATACATACAATATATTGGCCAGTAAGCGCTGTTAGACGCGCGCAAGCTAAAGGTGTCACTTCCATACACTGTGTATACCCTCTACTATATGCATTACACCGCCTAGCCTGCCCCTCCCCGGCACACCTTCCCTTCTCCAGAGTTTATTCTGCAGAAGAGATCTATATTTAACTTATGAGTAATCACCCCTGTCGTTCCGCTATCGAGATCAGCCTTTGCCGGGCGTGTCTTAATATTCGGAACTTTTACCTTACACATACAGCATGCAAACTACCAATTAAGAAAGAATTGTCCAATCACAATTGCTTCTGTCGATCCTTTTTTAATAGAGCTAATCCTGCTCGCATGTATTAAACCTATTGAACCTACATTGATTTATTCGTACACTCCTACTTCTTCGTACGGTGCTAGCTTCGACACGACAATAGATATGTCATCTCTAGCTACCCTTACCTACCTCGCATGGGGTTGCTGTCTGCAAGCAAGCAAGCAATGCCATGGCTGGCCGCATCTACGGTACACGCCCGTGGCCCGGATGCTAAAATGTTGAATGCTACCACCCGTCAAGCCATCAATATTTCCTATTGGCGTCCGGTCTCTATCGCTCATATTGTGGCTTAAGCACCTGCAGCATTATCACCGACGTGAATGGTACCATTCTTGAAATCGTATGTCATGTCATATACGTACCTACATAGAAAGGCCCAAGGCCGTTTCATTCATCTGACCCCATTCTCGCCCCCTTCAGTGCTGAACCCTTTTATCACCTTCTGTAACAAGCTCCTCCTCTTTCCTGGCTCCACCATCCTTCGAACCTGTTCTCCATTTCACACCATTTCCATATAATATATTATTTTCCTTACCAGGGTTCTTTCTATTAAGTTCATCGTGGGCTGTGTAGAACCAACGTGTTGGGATGCTGGCTTCCCCATCCTTAAGTCACTCCCCCTCTCATAGGTTAGTTTGATCAGCCTCTTAAAACCATATATCCCAGCTCCTAGCCACGAGGACCGGCCTCTTGCGACCTCTTCTCACCTTTTGCTCTTCGTCGAACATAATCGGGGAGGCCTGTAAATCTCCAGAGTAGTCTCTGACGATCAAAGGATACCATGTACCTCACCCACAAAACAACACCAGAACGGAGGCCGGTTATATGACAATATCGTATACTGACAGCCCCCTAAGATAATTTCTACTAGAATGGCTTTCGAGTCTTTGGCTCGTTGCCTCTTGATATGGATTACTCTTTCAGCCAGCGTCACCGCCGGCGCGGAGCTCGGTGGTGATATCGCGGCTTTGGTACCGACATGTGCTCAGCCCTGCTTAGAGTCGTTCGTAGTGGCCAACTACCCATCGACAGACTGCACACAGAACCCGACGTTACAATGCATGTGCTCAGAGCAATCACATTCCGGATACACGATCGGGGAGGGAGCATTACAATGTATTAGTACCGAGGCACAACGTGGAATATGTGATGAGAAGGATATTACTGGTAAGTACACAACGTTTCTTCTAGGCTATACCTACGATATCTACAGACATTAACATTGACGATAGGTTCTGTTAAGCGTGATGCCTATCTTATGTGCTCTAACGTAGAAAATGCGCTACCGAACACGCATGCCGTCTTAACGGCCACAATCGCAAACTCCCCAACTGGAGTTCCAGCGTCGATAGTCGTTCCCTCACCAACTCAAACCGGGTCGACGACCGAGGCTGCTTCCTCATCACCCAGCTCATCAAACTCTCTCACGGGCGGTCAAATTGCTGGAATCGTTATCGGCGTCATCATCGCCATCATAATCATAATAGCTGCTATCTTCTTTGCTAGGCGTATGCGCAGGGAGAATTATCAAGGGCTTAAGAGTGGAAGCCCCGATATGGCGGAGAGGGGCGGAGTTGAGACACCCGAGCCGAGGAACTTCATGTCGGCACCGTCCCGTAGTTTTACGGATCTTGAACCGCCACCCCAGCTACCACAACATCGCACAGCATCGCCGCTGTTCCCAGCTTCTCCTATGCCACCTCGTACTCCACCCAGACTTCCCTCGCCTAGCCCATTCCTTTCACCAGCTCCTAGCCAAGAGTCCTTTGGGCTCGGCATCTCACGCTCTTTAAGCTCAACTCCTGCTTCGATGTCGCCTCAGATTCCAGTCACTAGACCAACATCAAAACTCCTCCCTGCCAAGCCGACTATGAACTTAACAGCTCCTCCTCGACCTCCCCCTCCACCAAAAGATTTATTCAAGTCGGACGCAGTATTGTCTCGAGAGTCGTCTGCGCGTACACAACAGACTAACAAGACAAGTCTCTTAACAAACGTGACAGGTGTAACACCTGTATATACCGCTGATAAATTTGGAAATTGGGTGCGGAACAACAAACACCGCCGATCTGATCAGCGGCAGGTCGCAGTAGTCGCAGAACTCGACACATATACCCCTATGACCATGGCACCAATAGAAAAAAGGGAAGAAGAGACCGAGACTATCTCGGCAGCAGTCTCGGCTGCTTATGGAATTCCTAGCAAGCCACCGTCAGCCTTCTTATCTAAAAAGAATTCTATCAAAAGGCATCAACGTTCTTCCAGTGTATATTCACAAGATAGCTTAGCCCGCCGTACTCGTCTAATGTCTTTTGGTGGACTTGGAATCCAGCGTGGCCGATCTGATACGTCTTTATCTGACGACTCTTTTACAACAATCAACTCCTATTCGACGAGTTCAGTAGATGAAGATGTTGACAGGCTTGATGGGACTCATTTGTCACACCCCCCAACACCCAGAGATCTAACACGTACCCCAACCCCTGAACTTGCTCAAGCCAAATACTTCAATGTCTCAAGACGCCCCAACCGAGCTTTACTTCAAATAGACCCTACAAATAGGGCTTCATTTTCAAACTCGCCTCCTGGCCAGCCTAGCCCGACATTGAAGGGCGACGCTCTCCTTTTGAAAGATGGCAACTCACCTTATCCTAAGCCCCTGAACCCTAGGCGCCAGGACAGTGCTCAGACGTCAAAAACGAGCCTCGTTAGCGAGACGGAGTTAGTACGGCCTCCTCGGCTCGACGAAACGCGACCATCGATTCAGAGTCCGCTATCGCGTTTCTCACCGCGGTTACCCAATGACGAGGCTTGGTTCCCGGATAGACTTCAAACACCCCCAGCGCAGATCCCCGGGACTGAAGCCGCACCTAGTCCTTTAGTATTTGATAGGCACCGAACGCCATCTCCTATGTCATCGCGGTCATGCTCGGGAGACCAACCACGTCCACATATAGCACGTGCTGTTTCGCCTTTGAGCCAGGCACAAACAAATCAAAACAGCACAGGTGCTAGCGCGCTATTGACAAAACGCCTTGGAAACGGCAAGGCAGTGGAGCTCGCGCTCGACCCTAAGAATAATAAATTAAGCCCGCCCTCTCCTAGGGGTTCCCTTCCTGCTACACCAACATGGCAGCCGAAGCTGACTCCCACGAGACATGGCGAGGATCTGTACCTCAGTGTGCAGTAGAGGCGACACCTGCTACTTAATTAAGAAGTATGGTCTTCTTAATGTTTCATTTAGTCGACGTGTTCCTTTCTCGTCTCCTACGTCTCATTGCATGGAAGGGTACGGTACATTCATCGCATAGCATCGCATCGCATATATATACCCACGGGCAACGTCAACTGAACGAATTTTCTTTCCTTCCATTGCCGCTACGGCCTTGTATTACTACATACTTTTTACGCCTGCGGGCATTCATATTTGCATATACAATACGGCGTTCTAGGAATTGATCTTCATCTTTATCGTTAAGTATGGAGATGATCTTTTTTTTTCTACTCGGAGTTTAGAGATACAAAATATAGGACTAGAAGGAGAGATAGGGATCGATATCCAATCATACCCAGCATAGGGGACACTCTCATTGTATCGTTCAATCATAACTGTTTTGTACCTATGTATTATATCCAGCCTACGCGGCTCAAGATTGAGGCTAGCTAAGCATAGCACCTCGAGTTGATAGACTCGAGAAGATGAATTAAAAAAATATTGCTGAATCATGAGCTGGCCATTACTGCGTGCTGTGTGAAGTGACTTGAGATGGATAAATGTACCTAAACTATTCCTTTATGATAATACTCCTTAATGTCTTAAAACTCAACAATGCCTTACGACTTTCTTACCTCGATGCAAATAATACATGTCGAATGATACGATACGACGAGTGTATCTATCTTCAATCTATTAGGCTATTAGCTGTCAGTTATCAACTTTCGGCATTCTCGGTCCTCCACAGCCCTCTTCTACAGTAGCATTCGGGATCCAAGCATTCCCCGGGAGCGGCCCGGGAAAAATGGAGAATCCCCAGCGTGCAGTGGGGCTTAGCTCGGCGTTCTGGGCCCACATATAATTTTCTCCATGGAGGTTCTCCAAAAAAAAAAAAGAAAGAAAAAAAAAAATGTTATTTCAGTCTTGTCTCCTGCTGTGCAACTCGACCTCTCACCTCCCAACAAGAAGAAAGTCGGGAAAGAGATCCGGATCGCGCACTGCCACCACCAAACCAAATACAAATCAATTACTGCGGTAGTGACAACAAAAATACTTTCCGTTTAAACATCAGCGTAGCACGGATTGGTTTCTTACAATTGGTGTGAACCGGGAGGCGGCATCGGAGGATTTGCGATAGAATAGAACAAAACGGAAGCGCAGATTCCCGCGGCGGCTATATCAGATCATATCATATCAGACCAGATCCCGATAAACTCACCACTCACCACTCGCGTATTCCTTCCCTATCCAAGCCAACGTCATCATCTACCGATACCCTCACACCCAAAACCCAGACCGGCCAGCCAGCTAGACCGAGGAAAAAAAGAAAATGGCTCAAGGCGCCGTCAAACCCAAGAAGTCTAGCGCGCCCGCCTCCTCGGGCAGGAAAGCCAAGCCGCAGCCCCCGAAGTCGACGAAGGGCGCGCGCGTGTCCAAGGCGAAAAACGCTTCGTCGGCTGATAAGCTGCAGCGTCGGCTCGCGGCGGGACTGGTCGCGAAGACGGAGAAGTTGTTGGGGGAGCGTGCGGGACATCTGGAGTTGATTGGGAAGGGGAGGGTGAAGGATAAAGATGGGAAAGATAAGGATGGGAAGGGGAAGGGGACGACGAAGGGGGGGAGTCGGAAGTTTGGCTGAGGGGATGGGATGGATGGGATGGATGGTTGTAAGATGGGAACAGAATGTCGCAGACCTGCTTTGCTGCTAAGATGGCTAGTAGACTGATGTTGCAGCCCGCTCGCTGGACGATTCAATCGGCTACTGCGCCGAGTTAGAATGCTAGATTGCAAACAACAAGCATACCACCTCAAAGGGTATGGGCAGGTCTGTTGAAGACTACGACTGGAGTTTGCCTACCTATCCTCGGTATATTCTCTCAGTACGGGATCGTCTTAGAGATCCTTCGCAACACGCGCCGCTTACGGACGAAGAAGTCTCGATATTACGATAAGAGAAGTGCTTCAAGATGAATTATTATAAATTAGGGCCACTTACGTAGCTATAGCATTCTCTTGCTACAGCTTCAAGTTAGTATAAGACTATCTGGGAGACGTGTCAACGAGCAAGGTATAAAAAAATTAAAGAGAACAAAAAGGGGGCTTTTGCCATTGTCACTAAAAGCCTCTTCTTTAATATATAAGTCTATGTAATCCAACCTAACCCGCGTCCCTCGTCTTAGGGGGTATTCATTTACCATCCCCGTCCTTCCACTCCTTAGCTATCCCAACTAACCTGTCCTTCACAAACGCCAAATCTTCATCGACATTAACCCGCCAACTCGCCACCGCAATACGACACGCAGGCTGCCCCTCCCACTTTGTCCCGCTAACGTACCAGTCCCCCGATGCTTGAATCTTTTCAACCAACGCAGCGTTAAGCCCCGGGTCTCGCGCGCGAAACAGCACTACAATATGCGTGTTCTCCTCCTCCTCCTCTTTCTCCCCTGCCCCCTTCTGCTCGGCCGTAAGAGCAGGCAGTAATTCGTAGTCTCCTCTCAGCTCGTCGTCACGAGCTATAGCCCCGGCGATACCGCGAGCCAGTCGTACCATGCGCGCCAGCATGTCAGCTACGCCTTCCGCGCCCTCGCTCAAGAGGACCGCGTACACGGGTAGCGCGCGGAAGCGGCGCGAGTTCTCGAGGCCGATGTTTAGGGGGCTGGGGATGGCGGGGCCGGAGGTCGGCGTCGGCGTCGAGAGGTAGACTGCGTTGGGGTTTTGGAAGACGGCTTGGGGAATGTGGGAGGTGCGAGTGAAGAATATGCCGGTGTCGTAGGGCTGGGGTTTTGTTAGCGGTTGTGGGGTTGGTTCATTGGGATGGGAGGAATATAGGGGGGGGAGAGGATTAGGATGGATAGATAGAGGAAAGAAAGAAGGAAAGAAGGAAAGAAGGATATATGAGACGTACGACGTTGAGAAGCTTGTGCCCGTCCACGGTGATGCTATCCGCGAGCTCGAGGCCGGCCGTAAACTCCCGGAGCCGTGAAAATTCGCTTGTAGCTGGTAGGGCGCGGGCAAAGATGCCGAATGCTAGATATGTCCGGTTAGATATCAGCGTTACTTATCCCGACACACGTATATATAGGTATATAGATGGGCAGCAAAACATACCACCATCAACGTGTATCCAAGCCTTGTACTTATCAGCCAAATCCCGTAGCCGCCGCATCTCCTCGAAGCCAGTCGTCGCAAACCTCCCCGTATTAACCTCACCCGCACTAACAGCCACAATACTAGCAACCCCTTCGCGCTGCAGCTCTCTCTCCACAGCATCCAGATCCAACCTCCAGGGCTCGGCCTCGCTATACCGCAACTCCTTCACCGCGCTCCGACCTAGCCCCACAATCGACGCCGCTTTCGATAGCGAGCTGTGGCCCATACTCGTTAGGACTCGAATCTCTTTCACGCCCGCGGCCGCACACGCGCCTAGCAGTCCTAACTCGCCCACACCACCACCACCACCACCACCACCACCACCACCGCCATCCGCGCTGCTTCCGGCCGGCGGCAAGCGTGCGCTTATCACGGCTTCGCGCGCACACGCTAATCCCAGGACATTACTCGCCGTCGCACCCGTCGTAAACGTGCGGCCGGCCCAGTTGTTCCCCTTCCCCTCCTCACCAACCCCGCCATCATCTAAACCCAACAACCGCAACAGCAACCTCAGCGCCACATCCTCGACCTCGGTCGCAACGCTCTGCCCTGGCAGATGCACCTGCAGGCTATTATCCAGCGCCGAGACCAAGTTATCAGCCGCCTCGGCAACCGGGAGCGTGGACCCCGTTACGAACCCGTAGTACCGGCCGGTGCGGTTGTGGCCGGCGAGCGCGGGCGCGATGTCGGTTGTTAGGTGTGCGAGGGTGGCGGCGGGGCCACGGCCGGAGAGGGCGTTGGGGGTGGAGGGGGTGGGGATGCTGGATCGGGCGGTGGAGAGGGTTGAGGGGGAGGGGAGGGCTGGTGCGGATGTGCCGGGGGGGACGGCGGCGACGGATCGGATGAGGGTGTAGGAGGTGCTGAGGAAGGTTTCTGTATCCATTGGATTTGTGTGGGGGATGCCTCGGTATAACTATAAGGACGGTGGTTTATATGTTTGTACATACGCTACCTAGGTATATTAGGACCTAGGAACGTCTTGTAAGTGGTTAGTTAATCTGTATAGCGAAGAGGAATGCTGAATGAGCTACATAGAATGGGTCGCAGCTCATGAGAGTATTTGAGGCAGTCTATGTAATTCGAGGTTAGAACAAGTCTCAAATCAAAATTCTAGATTTTATTATATTCGTTGACTCGGAAATTATGTGATCGGTATCAGGTCAGTCTATCGATCGCAAAGTATTACCTCTCATGCTGATGATTTGGAGACGCTAAGTTAGGCTCACCGTCTAGATCTTACGCCTCTAGTTTCCATTTGTAGGTAATTCAGCGCTTATGAATGATTCTAGAAGCATTGAAGGAAGGACTTTTTGTCGCTTCTTGTGGTAGGAATGAAGTTGTGATATTTATTATTGGATGAGTGCGGGGTGCACATCATGTAACGGTTATACTTCTGCTTGTGGTAGACTTTCACTTGGTTAAACTTCAAGTAGCCGCGTAGGGGTTCTTAAGTGTGGTAAAACCCTTCTGGCGGCTATTTATACTTTGGTTTTATAATGCATTGGCTATTATCATATATGTGAGAAATAGCAAGAATCTATGAGCCAAGAAGCGTAAAATAGTAGGAAACGAGTCGAGGCTCAAGATCATAATGATAAGTTATACTACTCATCATGCTTAATTCCTCAACAATTCATTCCCTGCTAGATCGAGAAGACATCTATCCCATCGCCTCTAAACCATCGCTAAGCTTTCCTCACCAGCCAAGCCAATTCTTCTGTTTTCTCGGGGCTAACTAGCTTTCGAAACTCTTCAGTGTTCAAGAAGTCATGATCGCAGAATTCGAAACCCGGAACGACTGTTTCTGATATCAAAAGCCCACCACTGGTCTTCTCGCCACTGCTAGGATTATCTGGAAGTAAGAAGCTAGCTTTGAACTTGCCTCCCTCGACGATCCACTGTAACTTCTCGCCGTTGGTAACATCCGGCCCGACAGTGAACGTCTCGATCCTCTTTCCACCGCCGGGAAGGTCAGGCTCGTCGGCGTGTATCAAAACGTACACACCGCGGCCGCGATGCAAGGTATGTACGGTTCTCCCCCGGTTTCGGTGAAAATTGCCTTGTGGCGACTGGGGAGTTAAGTAGTAGAATATGGAGGTCGAGGCATTGCGGTAAGCCGGGTCGAAGCCAGGTCTCTGTGGCACAAGAGATGATGCCGGGGTTTGGGGAAAAGGGGAAGGTATGAGAAGAGGATCACGCTAGTCAGGGGTTTTCGTTAGTTACTGTTTAAGACGAGGGGCTCGTCGTGACAGAGGGCGAGAGGAAATTGGGATATGGAATAAGCTGAGAGGTTGCAAACAACTTCAACATTTATCCGTCATTGCTAGAGGTATCACTATTTCGAGATACCTACATCAGTTTCGACGAAATATCCACCCTCGATGTGAGGTTCTAGCGAGAGTGCCTTAATGACGGCTTGAGTGGATGGAGGCTCAGAAGCGGCCGACGGAAGACCCGCGGGAAACGATGGTTTGAGTTCTATGCCCGACATGACTATTTCCAAGAAGTCCCAAGATAGACGAAGGTATAGTGACACGACAGCATCGAGCGCGCGTCGAGCTATAATATATTCAACCCGGTGGAACGGTCACACCGCTAGGAGTATGAACGAGACCCATGTCTACCAGGTCCGTATGCCCTCGTCATTCGTCATCATAGTCGATAAGCACTAAGGCTCTAATTCCCCGTCTTTACGAGATAGGTAAGTCTATGACCTGGCGTACATAAACAGGAGATGTAAGCACGAAATAGTTACGCTTAAAATAAGGGGAATATCCACGGGCAGCTGTCTGGCGTCTGGCTATAGGCTGTACGCTGTTTGTGTATATCGAATAAGGATCCAATTGAAAGGTAGCAAGAAACGGATTCGGGCTGTTAGGTTTATTTTTAAAGTGGAGTGATGTAAGTGGATATGAGTGGGCGCTGGAACTAAGCTACACTAGTGTATGTACAATAGGTACACTACATAAGTTCAGCTCGGCTAGGCGTTAAAACGGTTTAACTGAAGTGCTAGTTACCTCCTAAAGTTGCTACTGAAGTTGCTGCTGAAAGTGCTTTCCCCTTCCCCGTTCTTGCCTCCTTTATTTTTTGTGGGGTCTTTTGTACATACGGAATAGTAGTTCTTAAGTGGGAAGCCATTGCGATCCAGACCCCGTCTTATGCCCCGTCTTTAGGCCCCGTCGATCCTTTCTTCAATCTTCATACTTCGTTTGGAGTCGAAAATGACCTAGGAACGCACTCTTTTCTCTGGTTTCCTTTTTTGTCTTCTTCCTCTTCTGTTTCTTGAGTTTGAATTTGAATTGTCGAGATATTTCATTCGTATCGGCACGCATCACGCATGTTTGTTTGTACATACATGCTACGCTCCCTTTTTTCAATATCTGACAACTCTCAAATCACAATGCTCAGTTCCCGCTGAGAAAGGCCCAATCCGAATTGAGGAAAGAAATAACCCCCCCTGACCTATAACTAACAGCGACATACCCTCCTTCGGCTTCAGTCGTCTCCCAGCCTCCACGCGAATTTCCTATTTTGTTGTTTGTCGGAAGTCCAACTTATTTTTTCAGCCGCGCGCCGTTGCAATTAGACTCGTACTCGTACTCGACTGGTGCTCACGAGAACATCCGTTTCTAATTCAATCAACGAGCGCAAATATGTCCGGGCTCATGAGCAAGCGCCAGCAGGCGCGGAATGAGAAGGTCTTGCAGGATCTTGTACATAACGTACCAGGAAATAATTTTTGCGCCGATTGTCAAGCAAGAAATCCATGTATGTGTTACTCGCAGAAGCTAATTCCCTTTCATGTCTATTATCACAGACTCGAACTTATAGAGCTAACTTGCATCTTCTAGCTTGGGCATCATGGAATGTACGTATTCGAGGCCTCTTCCGTCACTACCATCGTAGAGTTGTAGCCGCCATCTAAATCATCCGTACCCAACAAAATCGATACGAACTCGATGCTAATACGGTTGCAGCTTGGTGTTTTTCTCTGCATGCGATGCGCAGCCATCCATCGCAAATTGGGCACTCATATATCTAAAGTCAAATCACTCAGTATGGATAGTTGGTCGAACGATCAAGTCGAAGTACGAATCACCCAGAAGTTCTCAGAAATGGGGTTCGCTCAGTCTTAACTAACTACATTAGTAGAGTATGAAACGAGTGGGAAACGACGCGTCGAACAAGATTTATAATCCCCAGAATAAGAAGCCGCCGGTACCGATCGATGCTGACGAAGCTGATTCCGCCATGGAACGATTTATACGGGCCAAGTACGTTCAACAGAAGACAGCAAACGGGACGAAAAAGCATAATACTGGAAGCTCGGACGAAGGTACTCCGCCGCCGCTACCGCCTAAGACTGGTAGTCGTTTCTTCTCTTTTCGGTCTAAAAAGGATACACGTCCACGTGAAAGCGTTTTCGGTGTCCATGACCCTCCACGCAGCCCTGATCAGTCGCGCAACAAGGCTCCTCCTAAGGTCTTTGGAGCTAGCGTGCATCAAGACACCCCAGAGGATATGGCACAGAAGTTGACACAACTCAGGGATATGGGATTTACGGACGACAAACGCAACGCTATGATTTTAAAGGGTGTCAATGGTAATATTGAAAAGACAATAGAAGCTTTAGTACGGCTAGGAGAAGGTGGAGGAGGACCCCCGTTATCTCTACCAAGTCGTGACAGTTCTAGACCTCCTCCGACCTCTAGGTCGTTAACTCCTCAGCCCTTGACGCCGAGAACCGCGCCCTCCATCGGGCTGTCCAAGTCTAGTCCACCGACAGCGCGGAGTCCAGCCAGCACCGTGTCGAACAACCCATGGGACATACAGCCAGCTCAGCCCCAGTCGTCGCAGTCGACAGGAACTTTGCAGAACAGGAACCCCTTTTATGCTACGAATCCGTTTGGGGCGCCGAACCAGCAAGCCGATTTTAACTTAAACCAGAGCTTGCAGAACTTGAACTTGTCCATAGCACCGGCTCCTCCACAGGCACTATTCCCACATCATACTGGGGGAGTACCGGCTCCGCAGCCCATGGCGCAGTCTTTCTACTCGCAACCCATGACTCCGCCAATTCCGCAAGCACAGAATTTTACACAGCACTCACTTACCAGCAGTCAGAGCTATTTTCAGCTGCCTCCACAGCAACAGCAGAGCTACAACCCGTTCCTACAAGCTCCCGCAAATCCGCAGCCCGCACTTTCATTAAACACTTCCCCGTTCCAGAACCACGGCTCTCTTGCAAATAACCCTTTCGCTAGATCTCCTACTAGAGTCGTATCGCCAACTTTAAATCAGATACCCGAACAGTCGCAACAGAATTTCTATAATAATTCATCCCACTCTGCGTATGCGAGCAATGCGAGCAACCCAAGCAACCCATTCTTTACGACGAGCCAGCCTGTACAAGCGTCCGCTCCAGCCGTGATGTCTCAGCCACCCCAACAAGCATGGTACGAGACGCAACCCCCTGCACAAGTGGCAACTCAACCGGTGTACCAGCAGCAGCAGCAACAACAGCAGCCTCAGCAGCCTCAAAGGCCTGATACTGCTTCCATCATGGCTCTATATAACTACCCTCAGCTAGCCCCGGCTCGTCCACAGGTCCAAGATCAGAGTGCGTCCAGTACGCAGATAAATCAAACAGCCCCTCAACCAGCACAGGCGCAGGTACCTCCGCAACAAAACACATCATCACCCCTAGCAGGAAGTAATAACCCCTTTATGCACAATGCGGCAACCCCCGTTCCAAACGCAGCCGCGGCTCCATCGCCGTTCGCCGTGCCCAGTAATCCCAATCCAGTTCCCTCAGGTGCCAGGAGCAGAGAGAGCATGACTTTGGGGATGGAGATGGCTTGGAATAACGGCCGACACAGTCCAGATGCGTTCGCCAGCCTGAGCGCGAGGAGCGGTTAATTATAGATGCCCTGCACATACGTGTATATATAAAATAATAATCACAAGGTGTATTATATCAATGAAGAAAACTTAGAAAGTATATATCTCAACCATTGTGCCCATGTTCTCCCATACACTAGGTATATTTTCCATGGCAAGCTACTTATGGATCTCTTTCAAGCTGAATTCCTCCCAAGGTATCTCCTCTAGGTTTTCGAAGCCCTGCCCTTCGGTCCGGACCACTTCGCTCCAACCCCGAAGCAAGGCACGCCAGTAACACATTTCCGCCGCGGGGCTAAAATATCCCCCGCCATCGAATAGCTCCCTCTGCCGCCTCGCAATGCCCTCGGCAATCTTGGGATGCCGCTCTAACCACTCAACCGTAGTTTCGAGATCGCTCCAGTCCGGTGCCACAAACACGATATTCGCCTCCCGGGGATCGTACTCCTTGGGCCAAGCATCCTTCACCCAGGGCGCCGGGTACGGCACCAATTTTCTACTGCTATCAAGGGCAGCGCGCTCCACGCCCTCGAGCTGGTAACTAAAGACGGGCCGCGCAAGGTGCGTAACATGCTGCATCCAGGAGATAGGCGGCGCCAAAACTACACTCGCGCACAGCTGGTGGTACTGGAAGCGCCCGCTGTACGTCACGCCCTCCGTGTGCACGATGTATCGGTAGCGGCAGAAATCCTCGATCATCAAGGCGTTGCTCCCGTTCGCGGCGAGGGGCTCCACGTCCGCCCACGGCTTCCCCCGCGCGAGGAGGACTAGGTCGTGGCGCAGACGGCCGCCGCCGCCGCCGCGCGGGCTGTTGAACCAGGTCGTGCCGCGCCAGATGGCGCGGGGGTCCTTGGAGCGCCAGGACGCAAACCGGGATTCGAGGGCGGCGATGGATTCTGCGGCGCGCGGGAAGGAGCGCACGCTGGAGATGGGCCAGGCGAAGAAGCTGAAGTGCGGGATGGCGAAGAAGTGCTTGGTGGGCCCGTCGAAGGAGGGGTCGGCGGGGCGCGAGTACGAGAGGGAAGGGGAGGTCGGGTCGTCTTGGTGGTTGAAGGCTAGGATGGTGTCGGGGAGGGGGGGCTCGGCGGGGGGCGCGGTGAGGAGCGCGTTGGCGAGCTGGTGCAGGGTTGCGGAGCGGTGCTGGAGCATGGCTTCTGATAGATCGACTTTGCGCGCGTAGGTGAGGATGGATAGGCGGCCGTCGCGGATGCGGAGGACGGTTGGGCCGAGGCCGTGCGGGTTCCGGCGGAGGGTGAAGGGTCCTTTGGATACGGCGGCGTCGATTTCCTGGGTTAGGCCTGGGAAATGGGTTTGGCACTGGGTGGATGTGAGGAAGCGGTTGTTGAGGAGGGCGGGTGATAGTGGTGATTGTTTGTTCTCCGGGTTGGAGTTGGAGTTAGGGGAGGAGGAGTGTGGGTGGTGAAAGGTATCGGCCATGGCTGGTCGCGACGAGTCGAGACTGTGGTCGGGGACCAGGAGGAAGCAATATAGCGCTAGGCAGATCACGGAGACGAGGACGATTTGTCGCAGGCGAGAGCTTGAGACGAGGGCTCGCCTGCTTGTTCGCATCGTCATCGCGCCCATTGTCGCGGCGGGTGGCCCATCTCAGGGTTGTTCTTGTTCTTGTTCTTATGTCTACTTTTTAACTCTCCCGACTTGAGCTCTCATTCGAGTTCGAGTTTAAGACATAGTATACCTACCTCACGACTCTCAGATTTAGTAAGGATTTATAAGTGTAGGACTATAAGAGGTATGTACCTATCTAAGCTCAGCTATCTAATAGTGAGAATAAGCAAAGAAACGGTGATAAAATTATGAAGACAGCAAGTCGCGCCCATTATCTGCAGATCTGTTCAGAATAACAGACGGTCCGGGACATCTGGTTCCGAGAGCGTGGCATGCTATATTAGGTATTCTAGGTAGCATCTTAACTGAACACACCACACCCATCGCAACTACGACGTTGGATCCCGGGGGTTTTTCATGCAGGCCGCCAATCAATCAATTTGTGCGTGATGAATAACCCCGGTTCGGTGGTACCTTGTCTACCCCGGAAATGCCTTTGTTCTTCTTCATCGAAATTCAGTTACACGATGGTTGTCTTTTTAGCCTATGTCGTTATGTCGTCTAAGAAGACTAACCTATGTAAACTCTGCCCGAGACTTTGCTACATAAATGCTTGTAAGCAGCCGGGTTCTCATGTCACGTGGAGTCTTAGCTCAGTGGTACGAGCGAGGGATTGCAGATCCCTAGGTCGCCGGTTCGATCCCGGCAGGCTCCTTTTAATCTGATCGGTTGGATATGTATAATATAGTATCCAACAACTTACTTTTTGTGAAACTTTTTAAAAATCTTTTTTTCTATGAAAAGATGTTTCAAGTGTTTGAAGTCAGCTCATCTATCGTATGGATTGGAAGACCCGGACAGATATTGGATGCTAGTATGATGACTTTGAAGCGTGTATTTTCATCTTAACGAAAATACTATGGTCTTTCCTGCCAGCCCCACGTGAAAATAGTGTCATATTGACCGGAGTGGGGGCCTTGTCCCGCAAGAATTATAGCTACAACTCAAAGAGCAAGCAACTTTAGTGCAGTGTGAGCATATTGAATACATATAGTAAGAGATTTGGTTGTTCATTGGCCCTTCAAAAGTCTAAGCCTATCTATGTAATGGCTTGGAATAACTAGAGGTAGACGTCAACACCATTTTTAGGAAAGAATCCCGCAAACCTAGGGCTAAGACGAAGTATACCTACTCCCCGATATGTATATGTGGTCGATTTGGTGTCATCGGTGATATCGTAGCGGAGTTAAGGTGCCTTAGTAATAAAGGTTGGGTAAGGATGGAACCCGACGTGGCTAGGTAACCTTTCGGAGAGACCCCCTTAACAAGTCACAATGAAGCAAGGCCCTTCCAACATTGTTTAGCGGATAACCTACATATGCGTGTAGATCCTGAATAAGCGGCTTGTCGGTTAATCACCGATTGGCGGCTGGTATTTCGGTCCACCATCTTGGCATCCACAATTGACTTTATAGTCGGACTTAGGTATCATACGAGGTTATTCTCTTAGGTATTCATTTATACAGGACTCACCACAACATCCCCTAGGGCCTCTAGCTGTAACTTTGGCTGTAGGTAGATACGTGCAACTTCGATATGATTGTCATCCCGAACGCCTGGTTTGACGAAAAGGTCTATGAAGAGGTGGCGACCGCAGAGCAGACTGCCGCGCTTAAAGCTTACCTCGAGGATGATATAGGAGCCGAGGAAGCGGGAGTGCTTATTACTGCAGACGTGCACCAATTAACCCTTGCTGAAGCAACCCTTGCTGACACAACCTTGGTCGAGGAAATACACGAGGAGCTATGCAAGCTCTGGGGATTTTTCATCGACGTCATCGTGGACTGGCCTTCGGAGCACATCAAGATCGCTAACCTTTTGGATACGATTAGCAAACTTCCACACGTGGACCGCACCGGAAGAGAGAGCTTGGGAACTTTCATGGATGTGACCGGGACGGTCAGGGCCTCTGAGTTGTGGCAGGATCTCCCTAGGTTTTGGAATATATTTAGCGACTACTGGCATTGTAAGTTACTTACTCAACATGTGTTGTGTTTCTCCTGTCGTACGAGCCAAGCATGTGCTAATGGTCTTACAGCGTCAGCTGGTTGGCCGTACAGTCGACCTGAATCCAGCGCGGAAAAGGCTGCTAACTCTCAATGGACTAATATCAACGCATTCGCCGCGATAGTCTTTATGGGCGGTCCGTTTGCGGATATATCGCTTTTAGGAGACTGGGGCTGCTATGTTATTAAGAAGGCGTCAAGGTCGGATCACGAGCCCGTCGAAGTACATATTCCTTCGGCGACCATGTGGATGCGGTTTGCCGGCAAGGAACTATATCACTTTTACTTGACGCGGTATGAGGGGCCTTTAATGCGGGAGAGGTGGGAGGGCTGGAGGAAGGAGTTTAAGAAGATAAGTAAGAATGATACGGTAAATGCTGATATTAGAGAGAATGCGGCCGAATTAGCAGCATTGATGGGGATGCCTTTATGAGCGAATAAGTCATCCTACAAGTTAGGTACCTTAGTAATTATTGTATGTTAATTAATATGCCAAAAAAGAGAAAAGAAAAAGAAAAAGAAGAAGTTCCTTCTCATTTCAGGTATGCTTTGGTCTTATAAGTCTTATAGGAGAGACCCCTATTTATTTATATATCCAAGGAAGGTACGTAACAGCTCCTCCGTTGCTGCCACGCCGATGCGCTTAGGCTAGCTAGCGATAGTTTCGGGTACCGGTAGGGCTAATCTCGGTATTAGTAGCGGGCGAAGTGGGTCATTCCCGCTAACAATCGCGTGCTCGCTCGATATGCAAAAACCCTTTTTCCCTCACGAGCCATCGTCTCTATCGTTGCAAGTTAAGTCGACTATATGCGAACTATATATATAAATACGGATATATAAATACGGGTATTGGCGTGTGAGATCATCCGCGGTGGTTGCACTATACTTGAAAGACTAGGATAGTTATACCCGAGATCCAGGATTTGTAACACTGCTGTGGGCTACAAAATGGTTCGGAAGCTCAAAACTCCCCTTCCCTTAAGCTCACACATAGAAATTTCACCTCTGACTTATACCCATAGGTCCATGCGGATGCATCGAATTTTGCCGAGGGCGTGACAAAAGAGCAGGCTTACACGCAAGTCCTCTTACAGGCCGAAGGTCTCTTCGACGGCCAGAGAAACTGGGTGCGTTCATGCCCTCAGAATTCAAGGACAAGACTCACACTTATACTTCTGCCTCCTTAGGTATGGTATGTCTTCGAAAATTTAATTTAATCAGAGTAGCCTTGTCAGCTGTCAGCTTGGAGCTGGACTAACCGCCGCCTCCCTTAAAGCAATCTTGCCAACGCAGCATCCCTCTTATGGCACGCCTATAAATCGTTGCCTCACCCAAGCAACCAGGTGAACTGGGCAGGTCAGTAAAGTGTTAAGATTAAGATACGGAAGAAGTCTCCGTAGCTTTTCTTAAGCATAAGTACTCGGGTTTACAGCTGCGCTATTATAGGCTTCTACACCCTTGATCCGCAGGCGACAACGTCAAAACGCCAGCTCGTCCTAGGGCCGTTCCAGGGCAAAGTCGCCTGCCAAACTATCGCCTTCGGTAGAGGGGTATGCGGTACGGCGGCGGAAACCCAGATAACGCAGCTGGTTCCCGACGTCGAGAAGTTCCCGGGACATATCGCCTGCGATGGGGATAGCAAGAGCGAGATCGTGGTACCTATTATCGTCGGGAGCGGAGAGGCGAAGAAGTTAGTGGCTATTATAGACGTCGACTGTGCGGATATCAATGGGTTCGACGACGTGGATAAGAAATACTTGGAGCAGTTGGCAGAACTGATAGGGAGGAGCTGTGATTGGTGAAGCGGGAATCATGAAGGTATTAACTATCAATAGTATAATATGACTTTTATTGCTGAACTAATGCTAATGAGCAATGGGTTTGATCACCTAAATCACTTGGGCTCCATTCGTGCCGTCGAGTTTATAAATTAAACCCGATAGTTCCCCTGACTACTTCGAAAATGAAATGATCACATGGGAGGAAGCATACGGATTACATATGAGTGATATTGGATATGACAATATTCAATCCGACCCCCCATCCCATCAACTTATGCACCAATCCAGCACACCGCCCCGCACCGAACACCAACCCCGCGTCAAACCGAGCCCAACCATCTCCAATTCCGAGATCCCGATCTCGCAGCCGATGGAGCTTTATCTTTATCCCACTTCGTTCTCGCGAACGGTGATAGTAATGCGATAACCATGAGAAGCTTCCTACGAACCCTACGAACCCTACGAACCATCTCCAAGCCGACCACCATATCTCGCCCCCGGAATCTAACACCCAATTCCCTATCCTTCGCAGCAGCCCGCATCCGCACGATGGCGACCTCCACCGCGCCCGTCCTCAAGCAGCCTATCAAGCTAGCCTGCATCCAGCTCGCCAGCGGCCTCGACAAGACGGCCAACCTAGCCCACGCGCGGGACAAAGTCGTCGAAGCCGCACGCGCAGGCGCCAAGCTCATCGTATTACCAGAGTGCTTCAACTCGCCCTACGGCACCAACTACTTCCCGCAATACGCCGAGACCCTCCTCCCCGGCCCCCCGTCCCCCGACCAATCCCCCTCGTACCACGCCCTCTCCGCCATGGCCGCCGAGACGGGCGCTTTCCTCGTCGGCGGGTCCATCCCCGAGGCGGACCCGGACCCCAGCACGAACAAGTACTACAACACGTCGCTGGTGTTCGGCCCGGACGGCGCGCTGCTCGCGAGCCATCGCAAGGTGCACCTCTTCGACATCGACATCCCGGGCAAGATGACCTTCCGCGAGAGCGAGGTGCTGTTCCCGGGGAACAAAGTCACCCTCGTCGACCTGCCGGGTTACGGCCGCATCGCCGTCGCCATATGCTACGACATCCGGTTCCCCGAGCTAGCGACCGTCGCCGCGCGCCGCGGCGCCTTCGCCCTCGTGTACCCCGGCGTCTTCAACCTGACCACGGGCCCCCTGCACTGGCGCCTGCAGGGCCAGGCGCGCGCCCTCGACAACCAGCTGTACGTGGCGCTGTGCAGTCCCGCGCGGGACATGGATGCGGCGTACCACGCGTACGGGCACAGCTTGGTCGTCGACCCGATGGCGCGGGTGCTGGTCGAGGCGCGGGAAGAAGAGGACATTGTGTACTGGGACTTGGACGGCGAGACGATCCTGGAGACGAGGCGGAATATCCCGCTCGCGACGCAGCGGAGGTTCGATGTTTACCCGGATATTAACGAGGGCAAGATTAGTTTTGAGGAGCCGAACTCGCCGAAGTGAGGTTGAGGTTGTGGTTGTGGTGGTGGTGAGTAAGGAGTTGGTTTCGCCGGACGGGGGTTTAACGTGGGTTTAACGTGGGTTTAGATATATCTTAGGTAACTAACCCACCTACCTACCTACCTATCTGCCTGCCTAAGGAAGGTATAGAACCAAACGCTGCTGCGGAAGACATCTTGGACGCAAGGTTAAGTGTTCCTTGGGATGCTACCTCGCCTTATTACATTTGAGAGAGAGCATAGACACCGTTACTCAGCAAGTTCTAACGGTCATTTTTTACCAGTTGTTGTAAATAATCTAGAGGGAAAACGGTCCTTAACGAAGTATGATTTATGACAAATACGAGATTATATTGTTGGCCTATTTGTATCATCTTCTATAAAGGGGTCTTATATGTGCCTTAGATATACCTATTAGTTAATCGGCTTATGAACTTTGGTTTCTTTTAACGTGGCATATAGGTAGCTTATTATCTTCTACCCTTCTTTGTGAGATATAATTCCAGTGGTTTAACCTTCATGCCTACCTAAGTATTATACTGTCAATTGCTCTCCTAACAATTCGCTTCGACGTGGACGATCTCTACCCGAGGATGAAATGTACCAAGCACGCATTTTCGTATAGCTATGAGCGATATGTATCTACTTTACTGTACCAATCTACCTACCTTATTAAAAACAAACACGCAGTAAATAACCGATACTCCTTTCGTCTTCATATGCTTGTGGATTGTCTCCGCCACCAAGCCAAATGCGGCTTTCCGGCGTCGTGTAAACACGATATGTCGTACAACTCTCTTGCTATCGTCTGGTGTTTGACCGAATAACCGTGCCGCGGCGTCATCGGCTTGTGCCATAAAGCTACCGAGGGACGACGGTAGTTGCATCAATCGTTGATCACTATTTAGGTTGGTATACACATACGAAATCCATAGTATGTTGTGTATATGTATCTTCAAGGTTGGACCCTGATATTGCCTCCCACACGGAAAAGGAGGCACGCGAGCAATTTCCTTATCGGATACTAAACTGGTCATGGTCGATCCTAAGGGTCTCCCTTACCTGAGAGAGCATGCGTGGTTTATAAGTGTGTCTCACCGAGCCACCAACACCCCTCTCTGCAGCCCACCAATTCATAATTTATTAATCGATCGAAGTGTGTGTTACAGGTAGACCCCGAGGGACTGCCGAGATTTCAAGGGTCGATGGCCTCGATGGCGACTAGTTATAATAGGATTGTGTGATACTATACGGACGTTACTTTTTTGCGTCGCATAGGGGGAAGCCCACGAGAAGGACCAAGCGTCTGCGAAAGGTAGGTGTTTGTGAGATAAGGGACAGGCTATCACTCTTTCGGGGTTTATATTGCGCGGCTGATGAATACAACAGCGCGAAAAAGGCGATGAAAAAAAAAAAGCAAGGGAGGCAAAAGTAACGAATAAATGACTGGTCACATCCCGCAGGTTCTGTTCCGAGCCGTTACTATTCTGCATGTCAGCGTCGCTTTCCGATACCGCTCGGCATCTCGTCTGACATCTCGAATCTCGAGAATCTCTGATCTTGGGCGTCCTGCTGTCTTAGTCGTCTATTCCTCATACCTTTTCCTTTTCTTGTGAAACAGAACAACGGGAGTTGCCGGTCTGACAGTTTGAGAATTTCCAGGGTCGCTTAACGTTTTTATTCTAGTCTCGGACCCCCCACTCGGGGAAAGGAAGAGGCTAATATTACTCGCTTTTTGCTTCTTATTTGGACGTCTTTTTTTTCACCCTTTTAGGTAGCCTGATCGGCCCCGAAGACAGGTCCAGCGGGGCTACTAGTTATAAGCTACTACATATGTAGTATTTTATTTTTAGTATACACCTAGACCTTTGTCAGTGCTGGTTAAGTTAGTATTTACTTTTTGACGCCAGGAAGAATACACCAGGCATAAAGGTTTGGAGGACCCTATTCCCGGAAACTGCTGCTAGGGATTCGGATTCGGATGCGGCTCTACGTAGCCGGTGTGCACCTTGTAGATCACGAGGACGGCCGGTTTGGCTCTTATTGGCACTGTAATTTGTCGGTATGCACTCGACTGCCAGATCCCATAATGTGACCCAGGAAGCTTACTTCCTGTAGGAAGTATTGCAAAATCGGAGGGCTGGGGTCAAGATTCTGCGATTTAACTCTATGCAAAACATGTAAGTAGATGGATGGCTGGTAATATCGGTGGTAGTGGTAGCAGTCGGTTTAGAATAATTCCTGTATGTACGGAATATGTGTCGCAACCAATCTAATTTCCTTTGCTTATGAACCCCTAGTTAACCGGGATGGCTCCGCGTTCAGATGCACTCTTTGCAGTAGTTCTAGCCGGATTTGTTCGGTAGGGTCGCTCAGCTTTGAACATTAGTATGCAGTATGTAGGTAAGGCTCGCATACCCTTTCGTACTCGCAACGGCCGGCGAAGAGATACATCACAACGGGACTTAGGGGTATGACAGATAACTTGCAGTCTTTCCCCATGCATGATAGAATGATAGACGATGTCGTAGCAGAAATTGCGACGATCGTTTTGACGATGATGAAATATCCTCGGTTCTCCTAAGACATCCTTTTAAGACATTCTTTTAAGACACCCTTTTAAGGCATACCCGAGAGAACGGTCTTTTTCGAGATGGCTTCCGTGCAACTCACGACCCGCTTGTCTACATCATTAAGTTGTTCAGATTCGTATGTAAAATGTTTGTGGCAAGTGGACACGAGACCAAAACACTCCGCTCCGTACTGTAGACGTTCTAGACGCCATGGTTCCCTTGCACCAAATTCGTAATGCAATCCCGGTTGACAAAATGTTGCGGTTCACACGGTTACAGCGCAGTCGTTATGGAACATTCTCCATTCGTTCGAGTTAATTGGAGCCGAAGTCGATACTACTGCAGGCCGAAAAGAGGCAATAGGTCGCATGATCATTCAGCTAGTAAGAAAAAAAAACAGATATGAGATCGGGTAGTCAGTGAAGGTATCGGGCAAAATGAAGGTATCGAAGATGAGTGTTACAATGGTCTCAGACCTGTCACAGAGCGGTGAGGCCCCACGTGCTTGGTATACGGGTTATGATTGGCAAAGGACACTAAAGTCAGAAAGGTTAGATACTCCTAATTCGTCTTAGGTGATCTCTCTATTCCTGCAAGTTTCCTGCGAGTTTTATCTCATATATGGGTCTCTTTTATGTACTATGTATGGGGGAAAAGACTTATGTAGCTTCCCCAAAGCTAAGGGATCCGGCTGTTAGGTAATGATACAGCATTCGAGTAGCTCGTCTGTGTCACCCACCAATCAATACAACTCTGCCCCGCTCTAACTAGAATCAGGGTCTTCTCAATCGACCAATCAACTTATACAGATTCTTAAATCTTCTCTCTGTTAGTTGCAATATAAACCGAGGATGCTACCTGATCAGTATCATAATTGCTCTTTTAATATGTTCGAAATAAACCCTCAGATCGTAAGCTTCGCGAGCATCTAAACAGTTACCACAGATAATCATGCAAGCCATCAGATCGCGGTGTGACGAATTCTTTATAGGTTTAGTTGATAGCAATGCGATTGACAGCAGCACAGCAACACAGCATAGCCGATACGCTACAATATGATGATGTCGACAGTGGATCGAATATTCGTTAATCAATCCCCCAGTCCCCTTTGTATTGCATATCCACGAGTGGAGAAAATAGGTAGAGTAGGATTTAGGACAAGGATAGGTATTGTGACCGGGATTAGCGCAGGGGCCGAGACCGCTACGGATTCCCGCCGCCCTACGAAGTAGCGTACCTATCACCGCTAAAGCTTTAGCGCTAGAAATAAGGCAAGGCACATCTCGGCCGATAATGAATTGGAAAGATTGGGAGATTATCGAAGAATTGGGAGCCGCGACCGCGAGATGCTCACGATACAATGTATGTATACTCTATCACTCTATCACTCTACCACTACTCTAACCGGCTTTTCGTTCCTAGTTCCCGTCCGAAGACTAGAAATAAGAAACCGCGTTGTTCGACGCTACTGTAAAGATGACACCACTTTAACCATTTAATATCAAGGGGTTCCCGTTTCTTATTTACTACTTTTAAGTTCTATTCACCGCGTCTATGATCTATGAATACCTTAGGTAAGGTATCCAATAAACTTTCTACCCAACTTCGTTTCCCTATATACATCATACATGAATAAACCGAAAAGAGGGACGATCGATATTTAAATAATCGACTAAGAAACCAAGCCTTAAAAAAACCAAGTTACCAAGCAACTGGCTTCGTCTCGGCGTGCATCTCATTGCGAGTACCTCGTATATACGTACTTACCTATTTGCCTAACGCTGCATACATACGTATAGGTATCCACCAAAGCACCAAGTCAGGTACAATACATGTAGCACCAGAGCAACTGTATCTACCCGCCGAAACATTGATAACGTCATATAATTGCGCATGGAATAATCGACGGTCCAAATCATTGAAAGTTCCGACTTCTGCCCGCCATTTAAACATTCTCTTATCTATTTGCTATTATTACCCCGAACAATTAATTACACCGAGCAAACAAAGACAAGACCTATATCCAACTATTCCGGTCTAATCTTTCCTCCTCCTACATCTACATACACATACGAATAATTTCAATTCGTATCATAATAGGCAAGAGGTGCTATTCTGAATCGTCTCTTACCGAAAAACTAGCCGCAACGGCTGTATAATCGCCGTGGCGCTTTCGAATTGGTAACGATGAAATACGGGGAGCACTTCGAAGAAGAGTCGGTCCCGAGCTGGAGTCTGCATAATATCGACTATAATTCGCTAAAGCACCAGATCAAGGTGCACACCACTAAAGACCAGGCCACCGCAATTGCTATTCCTGGCCAGCAAGATCATGCCCTGAAAAGATTCGAGGACGCTTTCTATAATGAGCTCTGCAACCAGCACAGCCGTGTTGGTCTTTTTGTTATAAGCAAAGCCGACGAGATCTCAAGACGCCTATGTACGCTTTTGCCACCACCATCCCAATTGACCAACCTTATTTAACTGACAGCGCGCCCTCTAGGTCACCTCTCCGACTCGATACACCAACTTATAGTACGATGTAACAACGCCGGTGGAATGTCGCCTAAGCGGCAACGACGACTCGCTAAATACGCATTACAAGTTGACGAGTGCGACGACGATATTAAGGCATTGAGTCGGTTTGTTAACGCACAGGTTATCGCGTTCCGCAAAATACTCAAGAAATACAGGGTATGTACTCACAGCACTCACATGTAACTTTCCGACGTTATAGGAGAGAAAACCTAAAGACGGTCATGGCATATGACATAGTGCTAACGGTTGGCCGCCTACGGCCGCGTTATACAGAAATGGACCGGCTCAACAACGCTGAGTAGTCGTTTTAAAGAAAATGTCCTCACATCACCTAAAAGTTTCACGAGGTACGACTTTCATCCTTTACGACTACATCATCGAGAGTTGCTCGCCACCTTAGAGGCCGCCACTCCTGACCTGAACTCCCTCGAAATCGAGCGCCGGAAAATGAAGACACAATTCGAACAACGCGCCGAGAGTCGCCGATCTTCGCAGACACAATCCCCGAAATCTACATCCATCAGTACACCGGGTGGTTCGTCGATGACGTATTGGAACGAGTACGACCACGGGAGCGAGGCGGGTGATCGTGACGAGGAACGGGGATACGCAATCTATATCGACCCGAACGCGGATATCGACTTCCCAGGCTTTGTGTATATTAAAACGATTTTCACTGTTCCGGTAGATAAAGTCCGGCACTGGCTGAAAACGCGCGCGCCGCATCTATATCCATCCGAAACGCAATCACTTCTTAGCAGCTCTTCTTCGCCTGATTACTTGAGTACCCGGCATTCGACTGCACAGACGACCGACAACGAAGCGACCGAGGATGAGTACGCCTCGTCGCTAAACTCCAGCATCGGCCGCCGGAAGGGAGCACGCTATGCGGCATTGCCGGCGACGGAAGAGAACAACGACTACCAAGTGACCATGTACCGCGATAAGGTACTGACTCGGACCGTGATACTCGCATTCGTCGCTGCGTTTATCCTCTTGCTCGTCTCCGGGGTATTAGTAGCAACAGGTCGACATAAGCTCCGACTCGAAGTCGACGCCGGCGTGACGATCGGATCCGTAGCAAGTTTATTCTGCGCTTGCATGGGTTTAGGTGCCATGCTATATCGTCAGTACCCCGTCAGCATCCTATACCGCCTTGCTGTCTGGGCCGCGTTCATGGCTGTGTGTGCCCTGAACGGCATGTTGCTTGTATTAGTAGTGGGGAGTACAGGGTTATGAAATTAGCCAATCACCACCACCAATTGATTGATTTGGGGTTCAAGTTGGGGTCAGGGGGTTTGTCTTACGTTAGGTGTTTTGTGGCGTTATACAAGGTCAGGTCATCTATCAGCAGAGAGGAACGGGCAATACCTCGCATATACGAGGTTACATGCCATGTGCATATACCCGCGTCTCACCACTGCGAGGTCTTGGGGGATCATAAGATCATAGGGATATATAGAGATTGCTATCGGAGAGCTTCTGCTCGTCCAGGACGTAAGGTCCCGTCTGTTGGACGGGTTCACGTTTGTTTTTCCTATCCATATTACGTTATAGGCTTTTTTCGAATCGGCACGATACCATATATAGATTTCGGGTTCGCGAGCCTTTTCGTAGGTAGTTAGTTGTTTGACTCTGGGGAGAGGCGATTGTGTTGCGGCTCGCTGCCGCCGGTGCGATTTGCATTTGTACGTGAGTAGGTAGGCCAATATATATTATTGGGATATTGTAGAGTGTTTTTTCCTACTTTGTATAACTAAAAACTAAATGGATTTGCGTCGTTATTGTATGCTTACTGTTTTGCTTTTTCTTATACATGAAGCATGACTGGGATCCGACCAATTGCTTCCTTATAAAACCGCCATGCGCGCAAGTCAGCAGCCAGAAGAAGTAGGTCGGAAATGATAGATTAGGTAGCTTTTAGCCTATTTATATTTATAATGGGGTATATCAATATCAATATCAATATCAGTGTTCAATCTAAACCGAAACGTAGACCAAGCTATTATTTCTTTCGACAACATCATCCAGAATACATTCTCTAGTAGTTAGTCGGTCTCCTACTATATCCATACTCCCACCCCCTTTTTTGCTCGCGCACCAAACCTCACCGTCTTCAAGTGTATAGCATCCATAGTCCAGACTCCTTATTTATCCAACCAGACATAGTGAAGATAGGTAGGTAGAGAAATAGTCAGTGGGACGAAGGGTGAAAAAAACAAAAAAACAAAAGAACTCCCCCTTCCTTTCATGTTCCGTTATTATACCTACCTAGGTAGGTAGTCCCGTCTTTCCCAAACACCAAAGTAAACCTACAAAACGTGGATAGTTAAACTAAATACCTAAGTAAGAGACGAGGATATATATGAAAACAAGAGAAGGTCCGCTAGAAGCTCGCCTCGTCTTTTTCCTCTTCTCCTTGAAATATCAATATCACCATTACCTCCGAGCTCCAATAGCAAGTATTTTCCAATCCCATATCCAGACAGACACACAGACAGACAGACAGACAGACAAACTTCCCTACGCGGGGGAGTATAGATATTTAAACAAAACATATATGTTAGGTTAGGCATGTATGTAAGGTATGTAATAAGACAAGAGCGGGATAATTAATATTTCGAAATATACCACGCACGACTGGCATATATCTATCTTCTTCTCAGCATCTACAGATGGAGAGGGGAGTGAGTAAGAATGGTTCCCCGTACGGCGGGGGCGAAATGTCACCTCGGCGTGAAATCGAAGCACATGGTATGCGACGGGGGCATCAGCCGCGAGTGCTGGAGGTAGTAGTTCCGGTCGACGTTGAGTTTCTTCTCGAGCTGGCTCATCATTTTTTCTAGGGACACGGGGGTAAGTTAGTTAGTTACAGGACGGGATAGGATAGGACAAGACAAGAAAGCTTACCAGCGATCCCCCACCGGAAGCTAAACAACTTCAAGCTCTCGAACTTCTCCTCGATATTGGCCTCGCACTCGTCCCTCTCCTCGGGGAAGATGCGGCGCAGCGCCGCGTACGCCTGTATGACGAGGTAACACGTGGCGCCGGCGGGGGCGCACAGGAACGCGGGCGACCGGGGCGCGGAGCCGAAGTTGGCGTTGAGCTTGCACGAGATGTCGGTCGACATCTTGCACGCGAAGCGCAGGGCCGCGACGGCGGTGGAGATCTCGGCGCTGGACGCGACTAGGGAGGACGCGGGCGCCGAGGAGAAGCGCAGGCTGTTTTCGAGGATGGGCAGGTACGGCATGTAGAGCGTGAAGAGGGCGCTGACGAGCATGGCAAAACAGTCCAGCATGTCCTCCCAGTCCAGCGTCTCCCCCAGCAGCGTCAACGTGCTCTCCCTGATCTCGCTGTCGAGCTCCGCGTACGTCGATACCAGCGGCATCTTGCCCGGCCGCGCGTCGCGCTCCTTGTCTATGCGGAGCGCGCGGTGGAACAGACACGCCGTCTTGGCCGATAGCTGGAAGCTGCCGAACTTCTCGGTGCCGATGACGATGTTGGTGCTTAGGTGCCGCGGCGGCGGCGCTGCCGACGTTGGCGGCGACGTGGGAAACCCGGCTCCGGCTCCGGACCCTGTTGTTCCGCTTTGGCCTCCGGTCGAGCTCGGCGGTGGCGTTGTTGGAGGCGTCTCGGGTAGAAGAGTGTCCCGCGTCGGACTTTCTAAGAGGAAGGGGAAGTCCCGAGCGTTTTCGTCCTGGTGGATGAATCTAAGTCTCTCGTAAGTATGTATTATACCTCGAACAAGCCATCTTTCTCTAACCCACGATCCTCCCTCTCTCCCCCCTCCCCCCTTTAAGAAGCAAAACAAAACAAAATAAAATAAAATAAAACCACCAACTTACTGCTCCAATATAAACATCCCCCACCAAAGACACCCACTCTGCTCCTCCTCTTCCTCCACCCCTACCCCTGCCCCCATCCCCATCCCCATCCCCGTCATAGCAACATCCTCCCCGCCCCCGCCTCCCCCTCCCCCTCCCCCCTCCACCAACAACTGCGCCGGCTGCCTGATCCCCAGCACGCGCGCCGTAACGACAGCCTGGCTCAGCGTGCGGTACGCCGTGACCGCGTCCCCGTGCCCGTACTCGTACAGCGCGACCAGCGCGCCGCACTGCACCACCTCGACCCCCACCCCCGGGTCCCCCGCGCACCCCAGCAGCAGCGACGACAGCAGCCGCTTGACCGTCCGGTACGTCTCGTCGAAGATGGGCTGCGGGCCCGCGTCCGTGATCCGCATCCGCGTCAGCAGGTACATGGCGGCGACGAGGAGCGCGGCGGTCTTGGCGTGCCGGTCTGAGTTGGAGTTAAGATGATGGGGATGGGGATGGGGGTTGGAGTTGGAGTGTTGTTCGGGCGTGTCGGACCCGTCCGTCAGCGCGGCCAGGTGAGCGGCTTGGTGCTGCTCGAAGAGCGTCGGGTGCACGACGGCGTACCACGAGTGCACGCACAGGAAGTACACGTTGACGACGGCGCGCCAGTCGACCTGCTGCTGCTGCTGCTGCTGTCCCGACCCGGACCCGGGCGATATCAGCGAGAGGATCTGCGCGGCGGTGATCCCCTCCAGGGGCTCCGCGCCGCGCAGCAGGGCGTCGTGCGATAGCGAGTGCGGCTGGTAGATTACCAGCTGTGCGCCTTGCGGGATCACGTTGTTGGATATGTCGTGGATGTAGTGACATTTGGCGTTGAGTCTGCGAAGGGTTCGTTAGCTTCTTTCTGTCTGTCAGTGCTTTCTGGTATCTATAAAACCCCGATATCGATTCCAATATGCCCTCTTTATAGCCAGCGCCGTTAAGCTACGCGAGATTTGTTTAACGGGGCATTTATTAAATTAGATTAGCTCAGGTCAGGTCAGGTTAGAATAACCTCCCCAAGCATAAAGAAAAGAGCCGGGGATCTGATACTAGTAACTAGTAATAAGATATTGTATAGAGCCTTACCTCTTACACCTGTCGCAGAAAGGCAGCTTCTTATCGCATTTGCGTTTAGACGCACGGCATTTCTCACACGCGCGCGCGGCCAGGCCCCCTAGGGACGACGCTTCTATCGTGCCGTACGCGGGCGAGCCCTGGAAGCACGGTCGCTTGGGGGAGGGTCCGGGAGACGATTCCGGCGTCGTCTCGGACATGGGCGAGAGCCCGTTCAAAACCTGTGTCGTCGGCATGTCGGCGGACGTGTGGTGCGCTGGCCTTCAGGTGCCTTGCGCATTTGGTATGTATACCTATTTCTGGGGAGGACCCTGGCCTGGGCCTGGCCTGGCCTAGTAGGGGCCCGGGTGTGTGTGAGTGTGTGAGAGAGAGAGAGAGAATAGAGTCTAGCTGCTGTTGCCACTGCTACACCAAGGATCGGGGTTGTTGTGCATTTCCCCCTCCTCCTCGGGTGCTTGCTGATGTCGCTTGACTACCTAATGCGTCGGACGACCTAAGGCGGACCGGCTGTAGGAGATGGGTGTGTATAAGGCGTGTCTTGTCTCGGACAGTTGCAGCCTTACAAAACCAATGATGTAATATGTCGATATGGCCCCGACTATTTACCTACTCGCGGCACCGCGTTGATCTTCCGCGGAGAATGAGATTTCTAGCCGTCGAAAGAAGGGGAAAACAAACAAAAAAGCAGGCTGACTTGCCTCCGCTCGGTGATTGTCAAGGGGAATAATATTATAAGTCAGTGGACTCGCCGCCGTTGTTTTTTGCCTCTGTTTGGTTGCAAGTCGGGTTGTTGATTCGCCCCCTGGGAACTAACCGAATGATCGACAGGTCGAGCTGAGAAGAATGAAAGCAGCGGACAGGGATTGGCCAAGGAGAAGCTTTTGGTAGCACGAAGTACGTACATATATACAATAATACAAGGGGGGGTACGGAATAGAGAATATCGAATAAGAAAAATCAAAGAGTAGAATAACTACCTAGAGAATGTGATGTGTAATGTAAGATAAGGTAATGCAATCTCAACTCTATTTATGTCTCTATTTACATAACTACTTAGGAGGTAGTTGCCATTTCTTCTCTCTTACCATCCGGTCGGCGAGTTCCAGTCCCGAATCCTAAGTCCGAAGAAGACTGAATATGTAATAGACAACAATTCGCGCGCTAAGAGTTAAAGGTTTAGTAAAGTTCGTCTAGTAGCGCCTTCACACTATGTATGTACTATACGACCTACCCTTCTCCAGCTTCGAAGGCCTGAATACCGAGGCTTATAAAACTATAAAACCCCCTTCCCCACAATCCTTCTAAGGATGAATGGATGGATGGATGGAATTGTTCTGCAGCAGTCACAAGTGCGATATTGCCTTGCTACCGCGAGCTAACTATGAATAGCCTAGGTTAGGTAGCTTATATATGGATATCGTATATAAGCTATTGTTACTGTGAGCCTCAGCTCTAATATATACCTAGCATACGCAAGCTTATAAATTCTTTCAATACTGATTCTCACAGCTCACCAATAGGAAGAAAAGACGGAAATCGCAATGCGAGGCTGAATTGAGAGAAGGAAGACGGAAGCAATTAAAAAAAAAATAGCGAATGACCATGTGGCAGCGTCACAAAGGCGTCAAGGGTATAAAAGGTCCGATACAAGCTAGGAACTGTCATCGGCGCGATCAGAATTTGCCCATTGGCCGCTGAGCCAATATACTTTCCTCCCAACCGTCTTTAGATTGAAAGTAAGATTGAAAGTAAGACCATCTTCTCTATTCCGATTTGTTCGTTTTGTGGAATGTTCGCGTCAAAAGGCGGTCGGGAAATAGCTTATACATAATATTCTTGTCTTGTCTTGTCTTCGCCGCGAAAAACAAAAAGGGAGATCGGATGCAAGGTGTGTGTAACACTATGTAATGTGTGTGGGAGGGACGGATGATGGGTTGGTTACCTATCGCGTTTTCGCTACATTCAATTCTCAAGGATATAAGATGCTAGCTTGGTACAAGCCCCACATATTCAATAACGTTGCTTGACTGGCCGTTAACCAGTTTGAGGTTTCTTGAATTTTAAACTCGTGGGGCTTGTATAAAATTAATATCTTATAACATCCTTGCAGGTTGTATTTTGTATTGTACCTACTAACGCTACACTAGAAACAAGGAAGGCGAAGCACCCAATGAGGCTCTAGAAAGGTCCCACTCTGACGGGTTCGGCCCCAACAGATTCCCATGTGCTAGTGGAGAACAAGACCGGTTAACCGTTACTTCGCCTATTCGCCTATTTGCCTAGTCTCATCGGCGTTAAGAGAATGTCAAGCTGAGGCTGATGATTATTTATTTATATGCATGTACATATATATGAGCAACTTTCCATTCATTGCTCTATCCCATTAACAAGTCCCTAAAAACACACCAAGGTAGCACCTTGTACGTAGAAATCTACATAGGCCATAACCACGCGACTCCAAGAACCCTTCGAATACCCATAGAATCTAGCTATATACACTTGTGACTTGGGTACTCAAGGTAATACCGGTCGTCGTAATCGTTACCCATTTGCCTTTGCCACCCAATAAAGTACCTCGTACAGAGTTCCAACCAACCAACCAACCAGCCAACCCATTCGAGTATGTATAAGCTCTCGCACGCATGCCTTGTAATCACCATAAGCACCACAAGCCATAAAACATTCAGCTACAATTCCCTCATACCCACCTCATCTCCCATGCCCGATATTACCCCCTTCCCCCCTTCCCCCCTTCCCTCCATCCATCAGATCGTCAATGTTCCATTCAGCGGCAAATCTCTACTGCTTCCACCGACGAATATCCCGTACTCGCCCGGTTGTAGACGCCACTTCTGTGCCACCACATCCCAGACGCTAAGGTCGCGCCTCGTGACGAGGAATGTAGCCGTCGCCTCCCTCGTCGCGTTGAGGAACGTCTTTTCGAAGCCGCGTAGCTGACGTACCGGCGCGTTCGGGATCCCGACGTATAGCTGGGCGATTTCGCCGCCGTATACGTCGCCTACGTTCTTTATATCCGCACTGATTGATGCTACCACATCCCAAAGGTCTACCTGCCCGCCCTCGCGGATGGCCCCTGTCGGATATTCATCCGTGTTAGCATCGTCGCGCTTTTCAATCTTTAAATTCGAGTAGTTGAACGTCGTGTAGCTCAGTCCGAAACCGAACTCGTATCGCGGTGTGATGTTCTTTAGATCAAAGTGTCGGTAATCGATATACACGCCTTCGCTGAAGTTCGATTGGGGGAAGCGCTCGAATTGACCCAGGGGTAAGTCCGGCTTGGCGACATGTTCATAATCAGACTCATTCTTGGCTACCGTGTACGGTAGCTTGCCTGACGGGTTCGACTCTCCGTATAACAAGGAAACAAGAGCACGACCAGACGCCTCGCCAGGTAGGTGCGCGAATATCAAAGCCGTTACGTTCGGGTGGTCGATCCACTGATCCACCAACCGGACGCCGGCATTATGAAAGATGACGATCGTATTATTGCACCGATCCGCCACATGTCGGATCAAGCCATCGGTATAGTCATCTCGTAAGTTCGGACGATCATACCCTTCGCTTGCGAACGCATTAACAATAACGAGACACGCATCCGATATACTGGCAACATCCGGATCGGGACTAAAGAAGTCCCAAAATACAGCCGTCCGGTCATCCCACGCGCGAGCGTTGAGGGCGTCGTACGGCGAGCTAACGAAAGCTGGCGTCACGGCACCGGAACCACCACCACAGAATAGCGTCCCATTAGGAGCTATGTCTGAGAAATCTTCATAGTAATGACCCGAGAAGCCGGCACTCGTGTCGCGCCCAAGATAGGATGATTCGCCTCCGAAAGTCCACGCGGCAACACCGCCGTTAGATTTGTAGTTCCACTGGTCGGGACTCTTTGCCGAGTAACCGAATACCGAGAGCATTCTCGGTTTCTTTAGTGGAAGTGCATTCTTGATATTCTTGACTAAAACGTGGCCCTCAATAGCACCATCTAGTAGAACTTTCTGAGACGAGATATTTCTCGCGTCGACAATGTCGTGCGGTTGGGTTAGGTCTGCAGGCATACCGATTCCCGGCTCTGGGAAGTCCTTGTCCTGTCCCAGCTGGTAGTATCCGGCCATGATTCGCGTTGCCATGTCATCTAAGCGACCCTCGGAAACTGATCCATTTCTAACTGCCTCTGTTAGCTTGTCGCCCCAAAGTTTCGAATTTGGCATGACCATGTCCATTCCAGAGTTAGCTGATGCAACACCAGCATGCAGAGCATCCCAGTCCGAAGTAATGGCTCCCTGGAACCCCAGCTCCGTTTTGAGTAGGCCATTCTGGGTTTTGCTGTTCGCGCAAGCGTATGAGTTGTTCACTCGGTTGTACGAGCACATCACGTTCGCAGTCCCGGCCTTGACGGCATCTTGGAATGGCCTGTAATTGGGTTAACTAGTGTGGCGTAGACTGAGGTTATAGTCTATCAAAAATACCATAAATACAGCTCGTGTATAGTCTTATCATCGATGTTAGATGAGACGGATTCAGTGTCACCAGTAGGCTGTCGGTTCGTCTCTTGTTCGTTGCCGATGAAATGCTGCGCACCGAATGAGTGGGAGTCCTCTGGTAGTCAAGGCTATTCATACCTTGGTACTTGTGATGACCCCCTGCGACTGAATTCCCGTTACCGTCTCCGATACGAGGCTACCGGTGAGATAGGGGTCAGGAGAAAAGCCTTCCCAATTGCGCCCGCCACGTAGTACGCGTCCGATAGGACCAACAACGGGTCCGAGGTGGATGTTGACGCCCTTGACTCTGAACTCAAGGCCCATGCTTTCTGCACGGTCCCGAGCCAAATCCTTGTTCCAACTGGCAGCAACATGGAGACCGCTCGGAAACCCACTGACAAAGTCCGTAGCTCTGACACCTTGACCGGCATCGTTCAGACAAAAGCCCGAAAAGTTCATACGAGGGATGGCGTCGATATTCCCAGAGCAGCCGTTTAATGTTCCTGAACTTCCCGTAGAAGAGGAGAGTCCTGATGCAAGGATTACCTGGCATCGAATTAGCCATGCGTGCTGGGTTCGATAGGTGATGAAATACCTTCTCCTCGATCGTAAGCTGCCCGACAAAGTCGAGAGCTTTTTTGTACGCATCGGCCCAAGCGCCAACTCCCGTCATCGCGGCTAGTAGTCATATTAGATACTCGATCCAGCACATGAAAGACCAGGATTTTATTTTATTATGAGTATACTCACGAGAGGGATATACCGGCTCGGACTGGCCGTAGAAATAAGTATCATCGGTGATAAGAGCTTGGCTGCTAGACGCCCCAGCAGCTCCGTCGCCACTATCACCGTGTTGATTTCGTAGGGCGAGAAGACCTAAGAGACCGAATAAAGGCAATATCATAAGGCCAACAACGAGGGCGACGCCGCGTTTCTTCTGCAGCATAGGAAATCGCTGCTGCATCCTAGTCCACCACGAGGTCTGGTCCGGGGGCACTCCCTGGCCCTGCGACAGCGGTTGGCGCTCCTGCTTTATTTCTGCCATCGTTTACTCGGCCAATTATCTGTCATCTGGTGAGGCGGTATCAAAACTGGCCAATTTCAGAGCCGTATAAGGGGTAAACTCGTTATATACACTCCCTTTTAGGAAGATTGGCCGAAACCTGGGTAGCCTTGTGGAATACCTATTATTCGCAAAGGTGAAAAAAAGGAGGACTAAACCTTCAAAGGACCGCTACTCTCGATATATAACCCAGACCCAGGACGAGACGGGTGGCCCTATGTCGGAGTTCTCCTATAACTCCAATATCGGACATCTATTTCGTGATCCGAATTTGGAATGAGGAAAAAAAAAAAAAAAAAACTGGTACGATGAGCTCTAACGAACAGGCGAATGCGACGGTCAATAAAAAAAATTAACGGGATATTTATTAAATATTATCAATTCCGTAGTCAGAGGTGTATTCGACTAACAAGCGAATGTGTAGCTGAGTAGGTTTTTCAAACTCTTGAGGTTGCATGCGCTCTCTCCTCGGCCACAAGTTGGGTTTTACTCGGTTTACTATATAGTATGGTTGATCGTCGTTGAACAACAGGCTGATGTCAATACGGACGGGAGATCATAGCAACCCGTCAGCCCGTTTGCTTGTTGTTTCCTTGTTTCCTTGTTGCCCGGTTGATCGTTATTTGGAGATGCCTGGAGCTTCCCTGATTGGTCAATCGTCTATGGTTAATTACGTCCTAAGACATACGAATTCGTTGGGCAGGTATGTACCGTCGCTTAACGCTTAAACGCTTAACGGCTTCGACGGCTCGACCCTGACTAACTCATTTCGGCATTAAGAGTTGCGCTTCCCCCCACGTGTCATAACTTTAGCCAAGCTGTCAGGTGCCTCTTGCCGCGAATAAACTCCGCACATGGAAACCTGCCTCAAGCTGCATGTTGGTCTGCATTAGGTATATTATCGTTACCGGCATACTAACGCTTAAAAATATTAACTGAGGATATGAACTATACGGAGTTGTTAAAGCAGCCGGTATATGTATATAAAATAAAAAATAAAACGAAGAGTAACTAGGTAGGTAAGAGTTGGATGATGTTCGGTATGTTAATACATATAAAAGCTTCATTCATGATATATGCTCTTATTTGGGCTATTAAGAGAACACATTTGATATTTCACGTGTAAGTGTTACCAATTGAAGGTACGTATTGTGTCATTAGGTAGATTCTAACCTAGCCAAGTTTATCGAACCTCTAAATAAGGTCCGTCGCCGCGAACTATGTATGATCGTGAAACAGGTTTGTGTGCCACTAAAAATGTCGATATGCACGATTCCGCAATCTACCTTAAGTATTTAAGGTACGCATATTTCTACCTTCAGCCCAGGCCTTATATTTCTTATAAAGGACTTCTCAAGTCCCCCGTTGATACCACTTCACGTATATATATATTATATATATTAACACAGGCTTTAAGCTACGCTTCCGCTCCGGCTTTGATTAATCCTTAATGCTTAATATTTTGATCAACTATTTGATCCACCTAAATCTAACTGTATATACGAGTTAATGGCTATCCCGCCAAACTTCTCCCCCTTCACTAATAAGTCTGCAATAGTAACCTCCAACTCGAGAAAAAAAAACAACAGCATCGTGGTATCCAGTGTCATAACTAAAGGAATCGTATCAATCAGGGAGAGTTTGTAATCGTCCAATGCAGATATAACGTCGACCCAAGAGAACGCCTAAAAGGCTGCTATTCGTATCAATTCCGCCCGTCGGTGCCCTAGGGAATGTCTGCTCGCAACGTCGCAATCCACAATTATCGACGAATAGAGGGAACCGCTCTCATTCGAATACGCAAACGTCCCCTTGGCCAGCCAATAATTGAAGTAAATCTCGGTCTATAGTAGCGGGCCGCGGGCCGTGGTCCGCAACGCGTTCGCGATGGCGATGACGATGGCGTTATACTGCGGAGACCGGGCCGCATCGTGACATCGTAAATAGTAATCGTATGGCTATGTAGACAAGCGCGGAATAGGTGCTATATACTTCGGAAAGTTCAGTCGGACTGCTACCCTATGCGTCGCAATACGATACAGCGAAACCGCTAGCCACCCCAGTGACCACTGGGAACTTGTGGTATGGCCAGTTTCGATTTCGCGAAGAAAGATTCGGAATACAGAAGCAGGCGACTCACAGTATCAACTGCTTCAGATTGCGCTGGATGATCATGTCCTGCACTGAGCCCATTGTGATTTTAAGCAAGTTTGTATCCGTCGCGTTGGTAAAATGACCATAAATTTCCTTCTCGGGGTTCCGGTTCAAAGCCCTGAACTTGTCCATGAAGTACTTGCTTGCTTGCTTGTAATCGTCTGCCGGACCTTGGTAGTCAACAAAGCCGTGTGACGTTATAGGACTCGATGCGATCTTCTCCTTGAAAAGATCCATCTTGTTAAGGAAGAGGATAAGGGCCGACTTGGTGAACCAATGCGAATTTGCAATAGATTCCCAAAGCATCAAGGCTTCGTTCATTTGGTTCTAAAATCGCATTTGTTAGTAAGGTTATTATAGTAGCAAAGGCTTGAAGTTTTAAGGGCCAGTGTGTACTTACGCCATCCTTATCCTCAACCAGACATTGATCGTAACCGCTGATCGCGACCAGGAACAGTAGAACATTGACGTTCTCGAAACAATGAATCCACTTCTTTCGCTCCGATCTTTGGCCACCCACGTCGAACATTCGATATGTTAGCTGGCCCAAATCGAAGATGGTCTCGGTAATGCCTGTCGTCCTCAAACGTGATCGTAGCAGATCTTGGTCGGTGGGGATATATTCAGCAGCCCAGAGGCGGTCCGCATCTTCGCAGAAGCTTTTAAGACGTGTTAGCAAGGTCATGTCGACGGTGTCGACGAACGTACTATGATAGGTTGTCGTGAAGAGCATATTCGTTGCCCTTTTGGATGGCCTTTTGTACTCCATTGTCGGCCCAAAGGGCTTTGACCGGCTCGAGGTATTCCTGGGGAAGCGAATCGTGAGGCGAAATTTCAACGTCAACAAGTAGCAGTGCTTGGTTTTTCTGACAATAACACAATATTAGTAATTGACATCCCATAATGAGATCTCGTTGCGATAGCCTCGTCTCGGAAGAACCCGGTGAAATCTTCTTGCGCCTTCGGAATAATAGGTATATCTATCACATACCTCGTTGTCTTTGTTTTCAAATTCGATGGAATAATCGGCCATGGCATCGAATATTATGCGCATTGACTGGACGATATTGCTGAATACGACGGGCTTCCATTCCAACTTTTCCGTTTTGCTGAAACCTTGCGCGTAAATCAACTTCATCTGCTTGAGCACGGTTGACTTTCCCGACTCGCCGGCACCTATTAAAAAGTCCCGAAGTTAGCTGCGGTGTCCCGCTAGCCGAGACACGAACGATGGCGATTTCCAAGGAGAGACACTAAAGTACGTACCTAAAAGAAGCAGCTTGACTTCTCGTGCCATGCGCTTCTCATCTTATCGGATAATCTTGTCGAGCTCTCGTGACCGAGTATTGCCCTCCTCATCCTTCTTGCGACTGCCGAAACACATGATGAATAAAGCTTACGCGTGCGTATGTGTGTCGAGTATTATCTGATATTGGAAATGCGTAGTGGGTAGTCGCGTATTCATGCGGAAAGGCGAATGGAAAACGGATTCTTGCGTAATATACAAGAGAGCCTCACAGCGACTATGAATATACACAGCCCTGTGAGAAGATGAAAAAGAAAAGGAGAAAAGTTGGGTGACGCCTACAGAAACACAGCTTCGTGATGGTAAGGTAAGGCTAGCTCGGGGCTTGAATGAAACGGCTCAGTGATAGCCTGTGGGGGCTTGAGCTGACGGCGCAAATCCAGCTCGCAGTCGGTTACGATTTAGAAGTAATCCGGCGGAAATATCGAAATGTTATTACGACCTAGGAACTTTTTCGCGCCTTTAAGGCTCTCCCTATAGCTCAATGGGAAGATGGAACAAAGAAAAACTGGATAGCAAGCTGGGCTGGCTAAGTCGGTAGTTTTTGTTGCTTCGAGTCTCCGGGGACGATCAGACCAAGAAAAGGTAATCCTTGTCAAGTAGCCAGGGTTCGGTGGGAGGCTCGAGCGAACTCGAGAAAGAAGGGGGAAGAAAGAGACGGGAAAGCTTCCAATAATAAAAATATCGACGGGTAGGACCTGAGTGATAAATAATACCGCCTGTCAGCAAGATATGTCAGTATTCTTTTTTATTTTTTATTTTTTCCTTCTTACTACAGCATCAGCATCCGCCCTTGTTCTCCAGTTCAGGCGGGCTACATGTAAGTTTGTATGTATGTTGTACTTCTTGACCAGGACCAATAAGCGGAAAAGGAGGGGGGTAAGAAAACAGAAATTGACGAAGAGAGATAGGAGTCATACGTATGTACCTAGCATAGGGCGGTACCGTATTGCATTGATTCATAAATAGTCCATCCACGTACCTTTTTCAAATTTCGAGGGTTTGGAAGATATCAGTAAATTCGCATGATGGTTGAAGTATATAGATCGAGGCCAATATAGTTGAAAAATACCAATGGGTTTGTTATATCATACTGAGGGTTTTTACCTCTGATTAAATATCTTACTGCTGCGGGTATATCAATGAGAGAAGACTGACATTAATAATTATTCAATGGGGATATGGAATGACGGGCTCGCGTAGGCGATGATGGAAACTTAAAAGAGACATGGAGAAGATGCAATTTGCTACTAATATTGATAGCTGCTGTTTAGTCCTGCGTAATCCAAGTTAGCGTTCAAGTTCAATTGTTCTAATGATGGAGCTAACAGCTAGATAGGTACCTTTGCCGGTTTTCTGGGCAGTTGCGAATAGGAGTGTACCTTGCAGAGTGGAGTTGAAAGTCCTCGAAACGCAAGTTGGGGCTATTCAAGGTCCTCTTTCCAGGGATAAGCTGATTAAATTTGTAGTGAGCAATGGCCCTATCCACCGTGGAATCTCCTTGAAGAAGATACGACGTATTGTACGCAACGCACCTAAGTGAGGTACCTTAGGTACCTTCGTATCTCCTGTACAACATGACCAATTGAATATACTTATATACATACATGTACGAGCAGGCCTGACCTTACACAACCACGCGACTATGTACAATATGTACGTACTCCTCATAGCGCTTGTTTTACCTAATGACCTACATAACCAAGATATGTAGTGCACAGCTGAAATTGCGACCTTCTTCTTACTGTCCATAACCATTAATCATAAAGTGTACTAACTTAACGGTAATGAAGACATGGAGTCGGGACGGACATTAAGGCTGATTTGACCGCTGGAAATAGCATCTAATTAGGTTAGCACCTCGTCCGATTCGTTATTTAGTACATAATAGCTTCAAGCTTAAAACCGAGCCGACTGTGAACTAATACATTTACAGTTTTTCTATTTTCTCCATCTCCAAGCAGAGACAAGCAGCAAATTCGGCACGAAAAAGCATCTCAGCATTTCAAGGCTAATAGGTGCTGCCGAGGTACGTAAGTAAGACAAATCACAACTATACTAATCAACGATATACATAGCGGGACTATCACACATGCGTACAGACGTACATACAACATACATTAGATACCTATTAGTTATGTAGGTTAGATCTTTCTTCCAAACTCCGCAACGAACACGCCATACTCGGATGCAAGGATTATGGAATACAAAATGTACATAGGGAGAATACAGTAGTGTAGGTTAGGTCAGGGAGAAACAGGCGCCGCACGTAGGGTTCGCAACCCGAGACGCTAATATTTTTATTATAAGCTGTACTAGGTATAGCATGTACGATACCAACGCAGCCAAGAAGAATGCTATTTTCTGGTTGGTTATTTCATATGCATGCAACGCGTGCGAGTACTTATATTAGCACAGATTACGGATTACGGTAGCATCACCACTACTCTCGTCGATTCCATACACCCACGCTAAATAAGAGATCAGACATCAGCCAGTGGCTATGTATGCTGATGTATACGATATATGCGAGAGGTATATGCGCTGCCTGCGATGGGTGTCGTCAATCTCGATTGGTGTGAGTGCCACTTCTTAATGCCATGTGCCGTCAGCCTCTCAAGGTTACTCGCCTAATAACCGGACCGTCGTCACAGCCCTGCAACCTAAGCACTGACGATTCATAGAAGAAGAAGAAGAAGAAGAAGCATAAAGCGCAGCTCGCAGTTCGCAGCTCGATTTATGGATACCGGCTCGCCTGTATTCCGGAGATATACTACATATGTAGTAGCCTACCACCTGAGGAACACTGGAGGAAGACGCAACCCTAATGTCAGTATGATACTCATAATAATATAATATTGTTCTTACATAGTATATTCGTATGCTAACGGCTGATTCATTTAGTTACATACATACGTAATACATAAAAAAAAACATAGTACCTATACCCATTTACATGAGGCGAGTCATCAATGTTCCGTTAAGGAAAACTGATCAGTACCTAATTACCGGGCGTAACATGGGCCTCGGTACATTAGGTACTAGTGTAATAACGTTGTATTTATGAGCGAACGACGGTTCTCCGTATTCTCCCACGCTCCCACGCTCCCCATGCTACTCCCATGTTCTCTCTCATGCTTACAATTTATCTGCAGCAACTCACGTCCACCAATCGGCACCAACCCCCCTTCTCAATCGATTTGAGGTATCCAATGCTTAACGGTTAGTTAGCTCTTAAGTTACATACATGCACTAGTATGTCAACACCCGCATGTCATCTGAAGAGAAACAAGAGAGAAAAACGTGGCGAGAAGTGGAGCACCCACAAGCATCTACAAGCAGCGTCCAGTCCAGCAGTCCAGCAATCCGATGAGGAATAGTTCCATAGACTTGTGTCACCCTTAATCTAGGACATGCTGGATATGTTAAACATGGATGATGGAACCGATGTCTTTAAAAGCCCACAAGTCTTCCTTCCGCGCGATGCGAGTGGGAAATTTTTGAATGATCGACATACCGACACCCATCCTAACCGTAAGACCATAAGACCATAAGCTTAGCTTCCGTTCAACGACAATTCATAGGGTTCGGCATTCTAACTACCTAAGCAGCTAGGTAAGTAAATAACACCATGAGCCATCAATCAGCTTGGAAACCAGATCTACGAAGCTATAAATTATACATAAAACACCTAACAGGCCACTTAAAGGATTTTACCAGAAGGATCTAATCTACTACCTACATATACGTATGCAGCAGCGAGGCTCGGTGGATCTTCCAGTTGCTATCGTTAGCCAACCATATAAGCAAAATTTATGGTCCCGACACTGAGCTTCTCCATCGTGGGGTGTATATTTCGAGATGCTCTAACGGGAGTCTGACCGAAAAGAAGAATTTAGGTATACCAAGTCGAATCCGTCATCAGAAAATGTGACCCCGCGTCTTCGAGCCAGCCATCTGCATCCCAATAAGGACGCATCAAGATACTGCATATACAACTTGACACATTTGACGCCTTGCAGCCCAGCGTAACTGGCCCTGAGCTGCTACTGGAATCTGGAATCAACGGTGAACATTTCCACGGCCTTCTGGTAAGCCGTAAGGTTTCATGATTGTCTTGCATGACTCGATAATCATATGTACAACATACAACGTATTAGCTACAGCGGTCTCACGGCTGTCTCTCTTTGTACGGTCATCTCACCGAAGATGATAAAAACCAAAGAGATCCCCAAGCCACACCCTTAAGTTGACGAATGAGGAGACACTGTCATCTCACTCCGAAAACAACCCACCGCCACTACGACGATAACCTACTCACGAAGGATCCAAGCCTTGCCCTCCTCCACCACCGTACGTATACCAGGAGTACCTATCGTGACTATTATTGGCCAAGGACGCTGCGCGAAGTTACCGTAGTGGCCCCCCAGGATATCGAGTAGTGCCACACTCCCGCATATCAACCATCGTCTCCAAATACGACCATCCTTATGGTTGAGATAGCACAGGTCAGAAGCGTTCCAGGATCATCCAATGGTCTTTTTCGGCCCGTCAAGGTCTCGTCAGGGCCAGGGTTGATCCTTTAGGGAGACCCAAAGCAACGAAGCTGTTAGGCTACAAGTACCAGATATACATACGATGGTATCAGATTTGCAAATGCATCTCGCGGAAAATGTAACTTGACAAAATAGAGTTGCGCCATCTCCCGCACGTCTGTGCGTGAAATCTCCATGGGATCTCGAGCAGGCTGCGAGCAACCGGATCGAAAAAGCCCAGCCCGGGAGTTAGCGGGGCCAGGTCCCTCCAACGGACCCCAACGGCATAACGGCATACCCAGTCGATCGCTTGCTTTAACTACCTTCCGCTATAGTAGGCATTGTACGAGGAACGAACGGTAGGGAAATGTTGTTGATATGTAAAACAACCTAACCCTAGCGGTGGCCAACTGATTTGCATCGTCTACCTATCTCGTCTTTAAACTACCCAAGGTACTGTCTACTGTGTAGCCAGCCTAAGATGCTGTAAGCTTACGGACCCCTCCACGCGATAGCCAAGACTATCGTGTAGGAGAGGATTATTCTCCCCCAGAGGACGCTAATGATACGGCACGGCACGGCACTGGCGCTGACGCTGGCATTGAAATAGGAATAATACCTACCTACCTACCTACCGCTGCTACTACTGCTAAGCACTTAGTCGCACACCTCATATGCAAATATTAGGTAGGTAGTTGACACATCGTTGACACATCGGTGCACCGCATACGCAAAAAGAAAGCAGGCAGTGGCCTTATTCTTCTATGTATCGCCCGACCCACACGCCACGAGAGAGAGCCCGGTGGCGTTCGTGGCGGGATATTACCTAGCGTGTACCTATATGTAAGATGCCTTGCCCAGGACAAGATGAAGCAGGTAGGTAAGGCAAAATGAAGTAGATGAATACCTTATGTAGGTAGGTACTAGGTTAAGTATGTAGGTACCTGGTACCTACTTGTATATGACGTGACGATGGTGATGATGTAGGTGCTCCATCGCCCTGTATAGGCGGCTAAGCGCCCGTCCGCCGTGCAGGATCGACGGCGGTACAACTTACCCGCTCGCCTAGCAGGTAGCGAGCTAGGTAGGTATTGTATATACGGATGTCCCTTTCAAAAGTTTTTTCCATAGGGAACCCCTGTCAAGATTGCCAGCAGCTGTCCAGTGCTCGGCCACCACCTGTCAGCACATTTAAAGATGTATACATCATTATCACTAATTTTAATACTATTTCTTACAGTTAAGGACAACATTGCTATAGCTTAAAAAAATAGTATATTTGAACTTAATTCCTTTGTATTTAAAAGTTTCCTTTTTTCAAAATTTTACGATTTATTTAAGGGAGTAAATATTGTTTTAAAAGATTAGAGTAAAATAAGATACTTTTGCCGAATGGGTGAACAGCCGCCGCTAACCATGGCCAAAGCTTGTCGGGAGTGACAAGGGTCTCCCTATGGAACGAACTTTTGAAAGGGACATCCGTAGCTTAGGTAGCTTACCTAGGTAGCTACTAAAGCTTCCTGGCTGCCTGCCTGCCATACCCACCTGCATACCGACGTCCCGGGCTGCCTGTTATGTATTGCTTGTTCTGCTTAGTACGCATCGCCAGGGCTCCCCGGACGGTGCTATAATGAACCTACCTTATATATATCTAGGTCAGGCACCAATGTACGCCGACGTAGACCCCAGGCGTTTATATGCGATCTTATCGCGTATAATAGACGGATATATACTTACATAACCTAGATAGGTGGATATATATGCACAGGTGAGTATCGACGGTTACTGAGCCACGATCACGGGTATGTAATAGCAGGTGGATTAAGCGCCGGGGAAAGGACAGGGGTTGGTGCGTAGGTGGGTAGATGGAATATATATAGCTATAGATACTTTAGATATAGATAGATAGATATACTGCGTAGTACCTTGGTAAATCACGATACGACTACCTATCTTCTCGCTATTTAAGCCTTACGTACGTCCCGTCATAGCGCGTAGTGTGTGGTACCGCGATATACGTATGTAATATGTTCGATCCCGTTCTGTGGGATTATGTTCTGTTGTAGTTATATATCACTTGCTTCCCACGTTGTTGAAGTCGAGGGACGGGTTGTGTAGCCCAGCCTGCCTCAGCTGAGTTTAGCTCGTTGGTGTATAATACTATAGTACAGTCTACGCCCGTGCCTGGAATAAGGGATACATCGGAGGAAATTGCCATGCTGCCCTTGCAGCACGCTACGCTGGGGCCTTAGTTTGGCTATTTTACATAGACAGATAGGTATGTACATACATGGGCTTGCCTGAGGCGTCTAGTTAGTTAGTTTACTGATCTATCGCTTTTATACTTCCCTACCTGCATATATGACTTTGAATGTCGTGGGATAGGGATGAGAAGAGATATGTCAGGATCTAAAAGTTCCCCATGTGGCTTATATGTATGTATATGCCCTTAATATTATCAGAACAAGATCGATGCTTAGATTTTTAGCTCATTGAGAACATAGCTTAAATAAGCACGATACCTACCTATATATATATAGAGTGCCATCGTGAAACATTTTACAAGGCAATATCATAGTTTGATTTGGATTTCGCCCTTTAAAGCCCTCTGATTAGGAACAAATGGGAGGTATAAAATCAACAACAGACTATACTAAAAACAAATATTCAGCGAACATTCACAAAAGTCTTCATCAGTTAGTCATAAGCCAGTCTATTCATTATTGACGGCTACCTATAGGCTCTTCTAAAGCCAAAACACGTGACTCGTGAGGCATTGAATCATCTCACGATCTTCATCGTCCGGACCACCCAGCATCGTAGCCCAGCCCATCCAACCACCTTTTCACTTTTCACTTTTCACCGCAATTTGGCGCGTCTATTGGAGAGCCTTCGCGGCAAAGGTAGGCAGAACAAAGCTAGCCTTGTGGATCTCAGCATTGTAGTACTTGCACAGACGCTCCTCCTCCTCGGGAGACCAGGAACGCAGAGGCGTCTTGACGTCGCGACCCTCCTCCTTGCAGCACACCATGAAGCCGATCTGGCCCGACGGGTATGTCGGGATGGTAGTGTACGCGTACTCGGCGACGGGGAAGACCTCTCTGCAGTCCTTCTTCAGCTTGGCGATGAGCGGTAGGTGGAGCCACTGGTTCTCAGCTGTGACACAGGGAAAGAGTTAGCGAGATATGTTCGTGGGAAAAACTAGGGGGTGAATTTCAAAAAAGAAAAATGGGTGGGTAAGGGGAGATAATAGGAAATTAGACGCGGATCTTAGCCTAATAAAAGACCCGAGCTGGAAGATAAGGGGGGGGGATATTTGGGAGAGAAGGGAGGGAGACGGAGGCGAGAGAGAGAGAGATTTCGATGACATAGCTCAGCAGCAGCAGAGCCCACCACGGTCGACCCTTCGTAGGAAGAAATTTAGAGTTGTTTAAGAACAACCAGGCAACTTAAGTTCAGTGCCATTTGACCCGTCGCCACACTCTCGAACTTGTTTGCTTTGCCTGATATAAAGGAGACGTACAACCTTGGGTGGTGATGACGCCGCCGGGTCGGAGAGCACCGTGCAGCAGCTCGAAGTACGACTTCTGGAAGAGGCTCTCGGCGGGACCCTCGGGGTCCGACGAGTCTGTGATGATGACGTCGAAGGCATTCTTGTAATCGTCTAGGAACTTGAAGCCGTCCCCGACGTGCACCTTCACCTTGGGGTGCTTGAAACCCTCGGCCATACCAGGTAGGTATTGCTTGGAGAGGCGGATGACGGCCTTGATTTCTAGAGTTAGCTATGGGTATCCCGTTTGTAGTATTTGTGAGTGCTAGTATTAGTAGAGAGGAGAGAGGAGAGAAATAATACCTCGTCGATATCGCAGAGGACAGCCTCCTCGATACACTCGTGCTTGACAACCTCGCGCAGGACACCTCCGTCACCGCCGCCGATGACCAGCACCTTCTTGGGGTCGGGGTGGGAGTTCATAGCCAAGTGAGTGATCATCTCCTGGTAGGAGAACTCGTCACGCTCGGTGCACTGGATGACGTTGTCCAGGACCAAGACGGTACCGTAGTTGGTGGACTCGAAGATGAGCACATCCTGGTACTTGCTCTTCTCGTGGTGGAGAACCTTCTTCACCTTCAGAGTCATGGCCTGGCCTATAATGAAAGCCCGATATATTCATTAGAATGAGTAACTAAAAGGGCCTTCTGGCTAGAAGGTTTGCGTTTGCTGCCTTCACTCACCCGGCCACATCTCAGAGATCTCTCTGAACCAGCCATCTGCGAGATGTAGTTAGCAAAATGCGCACTTGTGATAATGAGAAGATGAAGTCGTGTATATACGTAAAAGTGTAGATATCATGAACCTCAGATATGTTGCACAATCGCGATCAACACGATAAGAAAAAAAAGGAGGGGGAGGGGCAGAGGGGCAGAGGGGTTCCCATTCTGCCATTGATGATTGGCATGTGAATAACGTCAACTCAACTTACCCTTGATGGTAGCGTGTGTGATCTCCTCGGAAGACATCTTGGACTGCGCAAAAGTCGAATATCGTTTGCGGGACGAAGAAAGAGGTTGGATGGTATTGATATTTAAATATAAGCAGTCGAAAATCGACCCTATCGTCCTCTTCTTTTTATCGTAGGATGGGAATTGCAATTGTCGAATCAACTTGCACGGCGAAAATATTTGCCTTCTCCAGACCATCTAATAAATGAAAATTTTCTGCGGTGAGATTAAAAAAAAAAAAAAAAAAACAAGAACAGTGATAAGTACCTCTTACACACATGGGTATCGAAACGTTACTGGCCGGACTAAAGAAAGGTACCTAACGTCCGATATACCTTAGGGTACCTTCTTTCCAGACTGTGATAGGGTAGCTGCTTCTACTACTAGCACGTTGTACATGTACAGTACATGCACGTAACCTGTTCGTCTGCGCTGCACGAAATGCATTATGTGCGGCTAATATTTGAAACTTCCGGTAACTACCCAACTAGCCTAACCAACATTCTTGGCCTTATTCACTCTTCGTTGGGCGGAAAAATGATATTAAAGGTTATCGTTGGGCAGCAGCTCCTAAACGACTGGTCACTTGTACTTAGGTAAGTTACAGGTATGAATAGGTACCTATTCTCTGATGCTGTAACATCATATCAACCTATCTTAAGAAACTCGTTTCACGATTACGATTACAATTAACATCCACCTATAAGCAAAACAAGAAACATACAAAGAAACAATGACGACACCACACACTAAAACCTGAATGAAGTAAGGTAAACAAACACCAGTTGGTAATAGCAATCATTATTGCTTGATTAAAAACACACGCCCAGAATCCGTGTGACGCGGTGCCTCCTATACTCAAGGCGTCCCGAATGCTTTTTCAATCCTCGTCACAAGCATAAAAACAATGATGCTAATACAAATGCTGTACTCTAATATACCCCCCTTTTCACCATGTACGCCCATTTATTAAGTCATTTCGAATGAGGACAAATTCATTACCACACCCATTTCCATACCTAGTAGCAATCTTCTACTTCTTGTTCGCGCTCTTGTTCGCTTGCAATATACTGGCCAACTGCTGCGCAGACTCTGGCTTTTTGACTTGCAGCACCCACGTTTCGAGACCGGATCCATTGTCGTCTGCTGCTACAAAGTTGACTGTCTTCTCCTTGGCTTTGTATTCGACGTCTGGGAGGATGGCTTTATTCATCGCGATGTGGCCTCGAGGCTCGGCACGTAGCAACACACGGACGGTTCCGCTTGTCTTGTTCTTAAGAACACGTAGCGGTCCCACTCCCTGAGTTGACCATGGTGACTTCCTCTCCTCTTCATCGTCGCTGCCTTTAACTATCGGCACAAACTTGATAGCCTTGGCGCGCACTTCGTGTAAGATCATCTCGTCCTCCTCGCCTGGCCCGCCATTGATGAGTGATATCTGCTCTTGTGGAGCTTCTTCGTCATCGTGCTGAGTCTGTGGCTCTGGTGTGCCGTTTACTGGAGTTGTACCTATGCTAGAGGGCGCAGGGAATGGTGAGTCTGAGCCTGTCAGTATATCATGTATACTTTGGTTATAAGAGCACTTACTGGTACCTGTAAAATCACCGCCGGCCTGCAAGAAGCTCCCGTTGCTTGAAAAGGACGACGTCGGTTTGGGAGCAAATGGATTCGAGATGCTCTGATTTGGCGTTGCTTGCGTGAAGCTGAAACTGGGGGCCCCGTTGCCCCCATTAGAGGATCCTCCAAAGAGAGAGGCTCCCTGGTTAGCTGGAGCCGGGTTAGGTGTAGATGGTGCCTGTTGGCCAAAGCTGAAGCTAAAGGAGGAGGATGGATTTGGTGTCGATGGCTGGGCACCGAACGTTGGCGCCGATGGTGGCGCGCTCGAGGCAAAGGGGTTATTGAATGATTGCCCATTCCCCCCAGCGGAAAAGGTGAAACCGGAGCCGGAAGAAGCCGAAGTATCTTGGCCAAAAGTGAACGAAGATGAGCTGGTTGTGGGAGCTCCGAACTGAAGGTCAGGTTTCTTCAACTCGGTGTTATTGGACTGGGTACCGTTGGTACCCGCACCGAATATCATCGCTGGCGCGGGTTGTGTGTTGCTGGGAGCCGGGGATTGGGCTCCAAAAGTGAAAGAGGCCGCCTTTGGCGGGACACTGTTGAAAAGGTTTGACGGGTTCGAGGTCGTAGGCTCTGCTTTCTTCTCGGCAGGGGCTGGGTTGGAGTTGAATGGGTTACTCGTAGTTGGAGTGTTGCCAAACAACGAGGATGCTGTTGGTGCGGGTTTCTTTTCCGCAGGCGTTGCTTCACCGTTCTTAGCGCCAAAAATATTTGTCGAAGGGGCCGGATTACTTCCAAACAGCGAAGCTCCCATGGTGGTAGTTGACTTGGATGCATCAGAGCCGAATAATGATTTAGATGTAGGCGTAGCAGGCGTAGCAGGTGTAGCTTCTGGCTTTGAGGCGCCGAATGTAAAGCTTGTTGATTGTGGCTTGCTTGGGGTATCGAATACAGACTTTGCGGCGTCAGAGCCATTGCTTTTGCTATCACCCGCGCTGAATGATGCCGAACTCGAAGAGCCACCGAACAAGTTTGACGCAGTTGCCTTTGCAGTGTTTCCGAATAGCGATTGGCCATTGGGGGCCCCATTTGCTTGGGATTCGGTCGCCTTTACGCTACTGCCAAATAATGATACGGCCTGAGATGGAGTAGCCGTGCTTGTTGAAGCACCGAAAAGAGATGTGGGCTTTTTGGAGGTTGAAGGTGTCTCGCTGACTTTTGACTCTGGAGCAACATCTGGATTGGCCTTCTGCTGCTCCTTAGTAGTTGAAGAGCTAGCCTCATTTGCCTTCGCAGCATCTCCAAATAATGGTTTAGTAGGAGCCGGGCTAAATACACTGGATGCTGGGGTAGACTTCTGTGCTGAGAAGAGAGAACTGGCAGTGCCGTTGGGCTTTAGCGGAGATGAAACAGACGACGTGGTAGATGCGCCAAAGAGGGATGCTGTGCTTGGCTGGAAGGCTGGGTTGGCCGGAGCACTAGCTCCAAAGAGGGATGCCGTCGATTTGGCTACCGTTGTAGCCTCTAGCTTGCTAGATTCGTTCGTGGATTCTGGATGGGAAATTGTTGCTGGAGGCTTGGTAACACTAGATGATGGTGGACCGAAGGATATCGGGGTTGTTGACGCATTGAACGTAAAGTCACCCGGTTGCTTAGCAGGAGTCTTGCTCTGTTCCTTTTCAACAATAGGCTGCTTAGCTGGAACGATATCGCTTTCCTCTTCTTCATTAGCTGTAGCTCGAAGCGGCTGTCCATTAGACCCCATCTGAACTCGCCCGAAGAGACCTCCTTTCGAAGTGAGATCGCTGGATTTGGTCAGGCCACCAAAGATATTGGAAGCGGCAGTAGTGTTAGTGGTGGAAAATAGTGCTGATCCGCTCTGGGTAGAAGGGGTATTTGTGCCGGCACTACTAGCAACACTGGGTTGGGCACTCTGTGACGCCTCTTGGCCATCCGTTGCTTCTTCTTCCCCTTCCGACTCGGTCTCGGTATCGCCACCATCGACATTGCCAATCTCATTGCTGCTACTATTCGCAGAACTTTCAGACAAGTAGCTAAATATGTTACTGGTGCTTTTAGCTGGTACTGAACCAACCTTGTGTCCGCTAAGCACTGACCCAGCGGTGCTACTCTCTTCAACAGTCTCCACTGTCGCAGATTTGAATATACTGGTCGATGCTGCGAACGGATTTGATTTGCCGTTCAGGTTGATGTTTTGGGATTCGCTCGGCTTCTGAGATCCAAAGGGGGCTAGGGGAGCCCTCTTGACGGGTGAAACACTGCCGCTCTGCGCCCTGTTAAGAATACTCTCGAACTTGGATTTGGCGGCGGTTGGGGTGGCCTTTTGTACTTTATTGGGCTGGTTCTCGTCTGGTTCATCAGTTTCGTCAGCCTTACGCTTGCTCTTCTTGAAGGGAGCAGGTCCCGTGAGAGCGGCTTCGGCCTGTTCTTGAGCAACATTGCGACGCTTATTCTGGTTGGCAGTCGATGCCATTAGGGCGTTATCCTTTGGCGCCAAATCCTCTTCGGCCTTGCGCTTCGTCGACACGGCGCCAGGGCGACGGTTACTCTGGACCGGAGTTGCCGGTGCCGCTTTCTCCGCTTGCGGCTCCGGCTCTGGTAAGTTATGGGCTGCTCTCCACCTCTTGAGCACCTCTTCTGATGGCTTCACGTTCTTGAACTCATACAGCCCGTATCGTAGCATGATTAACCCCCTGCTCTTCTCATATTCCTTCGCGAAGTTCATTATATTCAGCTTCCAATCCTTCTTCGCGAAGATCTCATCAGCAGCGTATTTCAGTCTTCGCAAATCAAGGACACAGAAAAACTGTCGTCGCTGAAGGTCATCGAAGTTCGGGGGGCATTTATGGGCTAGGAACTGATCCGCGTAGATAGTACCTGTACGATTAGGATCATCGGGAACCTCTTTTGATAGAGCCGCGCCGGAGAGCTCGGGGTCTGGAGACGGTATCCTCATCTTGAAAGGCTCGGCTGAGGCTATACCATACATGCCACCTTGCGTAGCTTTTTGGGGGAACTTGCGGCCGCCTGGGGTTGTCTTTGTTACATCCGCCGGTAAGCTAGGCGCAAATTTGATAGTACGGGAGGTTTGCGGAGTAGAAGTACGGAATAGATCGCGACCGTATGAGTTGGTCGTCGCTACCTTGCCCGTGAGATGCGAAGTGCGCGCGGGAGATGGTCTATTCATGGGAACGAGTGATGATCGAAATCTGCTTGCTGAAGCAGACCGGAAAGGCGTTGAGCCTTGTTGACCCGGCGCGGGGCGAGGTTTGAGAGGTGTGCTGGAATTCATTGTGTGTATAGATGGTTATCAAAGGATATATAATTCCTAGATAACGCGTGGTGGTTGAGGTTGTTGGAAAAGGAAAGAGGACGTGTGCGATGGATGATAGACGCGTCGGGGGAGGATGAGAGGTCGATGTTGGGATTGTCTAGGCGACCGGCTGCGACTAAGCCGGAGACGGGGGTTGACGAATGAGGTGGAATGAAGACTAAGGTAAATGTAGAAAAGCCTCAAAGGCAAGTCTCAAGGGATTCCAAAATATGTTGGCATGCGATGATTGAAACAAATGTAAATGGGTAGGTGAATTTTGTTTGATGGATGGCCCGTGATCCTCAACACCTTGACGACAACAAGGCTAGGAAGATTTTGCTTTCTGGAGAAGAAAGTGACTGGGAGTGATGTTGTTATTTGGGGTTCTAGGTTCCGTGGCTGCCAGGGAAAAAAATAGTTAAGGGTAAATTTGGTACGTACCTAAATTATGACTGTACGTGACAGTCAATTAGGTGTCAATATCCACCTACAGAAGCTTGTATTTTCAAGTAATGGCCTCGTGTTATTGGACCAAAACTTAGACGCGCTTTGCAAATATTAGGTCCAAGTACCAGTACATTCGATACATGTACCTATACAGGTGGAGGCAGCTTTTTACCTAATAGCTAAACGCACAGACCATCTATCAAACCCGGTATCTTTATGTACCTTAGTGTATTACCTTATGTAATGTGCATAACACAAGTTACACAACCCATTCAATTCAACTACGAAGGTCCGGGCTAAAAGTCTTGCACATGTGGAGGTCCCTAGCACCGTATTCGAACGTCATCCCTTTCTATTAGTACTGTATTAGCCACCTGCTAAGATAAAATTTAGATAGTGGCCCGTACGCTAAGTTTAGGTGGCTTACCACTATACTTATAGCGGCATTAGCCACTATAGCTTAAGTAATACCGTGCGGTCCTTTTTTTACTCACACGTGGTTTGCTAACACCAGATGTGCAAGACTTTTGGCCCGGACCTTCGTAGTGCGCGCATTGAGCTTTGCAACCCACAGTATGTACAAAAGACATACCTTACCCTCTTCCAACTTGCCGTTTCTTATTGATACCATGTCCTTGAGTGCCAGAAAAACATGATGGATTAACCCACAGGATAGAGATAATATTAGGTAGTCAACTAATAGTTTAAAGAATTCCTGGAATTCCGCAAGATGATGTATTGACTGTTCTGATTGGATATGCCCTTGTGAAGAGTAACCCACCGTGTCTTTCTAGCGCTTAAGGATAATGAAAAGAATTAAAAAGAATTACATGACTAGTAGTAAGAAAGCGTCTTTTATTTTATAGCCAACTACTTTGAACGGAATAGGGAAGTGTGTTGCTAGCTTTGGTCCGCTTACATCTAATAATAGGTAGTCTAAACGCGCTATCACATGTCCATATGTTTACTAATAATACGTCAAAAATCGATATTATGAACAGCAGAGTTTCTAGTTTCCCAGCGCATGCTAGATTTGTATATAGGTAGGTATCCAAGGTTTGAATATGG